GTCAATTCGTGCTGAAAAATTGATTTGAAAAATTAATAATGTTATTTTTTTGCAATAATGCGTATAACTTGGCCATTTTGAAGATATTAGCTAAAACTTGCTAGAGTTGTCATAATAATGCGTTCTATCACATATATTCTGTTTTTTTTCGAAAAGTCAATTTTTTTTTGAAAAAATGTAAAAATATAAATTTTGAATTTTATTATATAAAATTTTCGAAATTTTCAAAATTTCGAAAATCCGAGATAGCAGTTTGATAGCGCAGTCTATTCTGAGTCCTCTCATGCAAAGAAATTGGATCTAGCTTAAAAACTGAGCTCTTGGGAGCGATTGCCGTGGTTCAATGTTTTGTGTCGAAATCGGCCGAACATGACGTCACTCTGACGTCATTCCGGCCGACCTATGGTAGGTACGAAGTTCAAATTTTGACACAAGGTCAAATTGATGCAGCCGAAGGTACTGAAAGTTTGGCGTTGATACGTCAAGCGGTTTGGAACTTATTGCAGAAAAACGGGAGGGGTGGCTATAAATAGCCCCCCCCCCCCCCAGTGGGGCGCGGGTTAACACCGGTTTCGCTGCGCTGAGCGGTGGCCGTCTCGTTTATTTATTTATTTATTTATTTATTGCATGTCTTAGTGGGATCCAACAATGTTGGCTTTTACCGCCACAGTGTCAAAGTACATAAAGGACACGTATATCACACAGTCGTTGAAGCAGATTTCAGAGAACATGAGATAAAAATAGGTATGCCCACGCGAGTGTGATAAAACGTATAAAATTATATAAAAGTACGCACATGGCACAGCTTGGCTAAAAATCACAGACAAAAAAAAAAACGGATGATAGGTGGCGCATCTATGACTGGCTCGCGTATGCTGCTCTTACGCTGGCTCGGAAAGTGGTCGGGTTGATGTTTTGTCGCTGCTCGTTGGGCAGACGGTTCCATGTCCGTAAAGCACGAACTGGCACGGTCTTGTGTGTGACCTCCATCCTGCATCGCGGTGCGTGTAGGACACCGTCGGTGGCCGAACGAGTGGTCCGCTCGGACACATCCGCTCGGGCACACACAAGCGATCTCAGGGCTTGTGGAGTGTCGGTGCAGTGCACAAGTCTGTGCACTAAAGCACAGTCTCTGAGCTCGATTATTTCGGCAAATTTCAACCAGCCCAGTTGTCTGCGAGCGGCTGAAACGTGATCGGTTTTCTTTTTTGTTGGATTCTACAGCTGGCTGGCGGAAAGCGTTACCGGCCGCCCGTCCACCGCCCGCGGGCCGGACCAAGCGGTCCCGCTGACCCTACCTGACCTGAGCCCGGCGCGATATGGGACGGGCAGACGGGGGTTCGGCTCAGCGAAGGCAGCGCCCACTGGTGCTGGGGACTTTTTTTAATAGACCTACTGTACAGCTAATGGTTCTCTAAAGGCTCAATGAATAAGTTGGATGAGGGCACAATTGACAATCATGTACCTAGTATATTTCCATTTCCTTTTTTAAGAAAATGTTTTACAAGATCGCAGCATTAACACGCGCAGTGGAAGGGTTGCGAGTAGGTACTACGCCCAGTGGAAGGGGGGGGGCGGATGTCGCCCCCCCCTAATATCTCAGCTCCCACTGGAGCTAAAAAGACGAAATTTGGAGGGTAGGTGGGGGCCATGGGGAACTCTGTTGTGTGTGAATTTCATGGCCCTAGGTCAGTATCTTCAAGGTCAAATGAGGTCAAATGTGGTCAAATCTGCCATATTAGCGACTTTTTTGCGTTTACACGCCGATAACTCAAAAAGTTACCGGTCGATTTTTTTAATCTTTCACTATACGAAAGAACAAACATTTGTGAGTATGTATGGTGAATTTCTAGATAATCCAACAATAAATATGGCAGTTAGAAGCCTGCTAAGGGTAAGATGTCGCCGGCTGAAGCGGCATCGGCCGACGCGGGAAACGCGGCAATCACAATTTTGTGTTTACACACTCATAACTCAAGTTGTTACCGGCCGATTTTCAAAATTCTTTAACCATATGATTGCCTGTACATTTCTCAGTCTTCTCACCGAATTTGACGCGCATCTAATATAATCAGCGGTAAGGAGCGCGATGTAAAGACGGAACCGTCCCGCCCCGGCACAGTCTACAATTCAGGCGGCGCGTAACGGCTAGCGCCGGCCGCCGCGCCGCCGCGCCGCCGCGGCGGCGGGATGTTTGACTTTACACCGCTGTTACTAGAAAAGTTGTGAACCGATTTTCTTACTTCTTGCACGAGAAGATCCGCAATTAAATTCTGGACAGGTAGCCCAAATTTCACATTGATATTATCCTTGCGGCGCGAGTTATTGGCGAAAAACAGGAGGGGTGGGCGAAATCCGCCCCCCTTCCACCTGCGCGTGTTAACTCTCGATATGTCACAAAAATAGGTAGGTGGCGCTCGGCGTCTATTCAGTTAATTGTGGTTTGAACGTAAAAAACTGAATTCTTCGAAGTAGGTATGTACCTACATATATCTAAAACACTATTGTTAAAAAAACAGCTGAAATACTTGCCTATTCCGTAACCAACTATCGATCCTAGAGCAATCAGAATTTCTATGGCGACTCAAACTACCTGCCACTTATCCTGACCAGAGTTAAACGTCTCGTTGCTGAAATGAAACTACATGATTGTTGACATACGTCTAATCATGGGAAACAGCTGAGCTACTGTCACTCACCGCATCTCGCTGAGCTTTCTCTGTCGGACGGATCGAGTACCGGAGCCAGTTCCGGTCACCAGGGCAGCTGCAGAGGGAATCGGCGCACAGCGAGAGGAGAGAGAGAGAGAGAGAGAGAGCTTCACCGAACGAAACAGCGGGTAACGAGAGAACCGAGAAGACGGTCAACGTGCACCACACGCCGGACGTGACTTTGCTACCATACCGTCTTCTCTAGAACACGTATCAGAGTGTCTCGTAGCCAATCCTTGTGGCATAAGTGGCGCTTGATCAATCGTCATTTGCTTTGTGCCACGGGTTATCGCACCTTTGGGACATGGGACGCGGTAAACGGTGTAAATAACCCTGCTCAGGACGAGGTGGTCAGCTTCGATAGATGACGCCATGTGAGGAAGGCAGATGTCGCTACTGAAGGGTCCCTCTTGCCCTGCATTCGGTACCAGGAAAATGGGCTATTCGATTGGACGCTTTGTAGCGCTACGGATTATCTGATTAGCGTGCATTCGGCATCCGGATATTCAGGGGTAATTTTCCGGCATCACCGGCATCACCGGTGATTTAAGCTGACAGTTGACACTTGACACCGTGTACAAACGGACATGAGAACGAGTGAAAGAGCCATTAGTGAAGCAAAAGCAATATAAAATTGTGATTAATTGCATCGGTGGTCCTTGCAATACCAAATTACCGCCAGAGATCTCGAATAATTATCTCTCATTTTCCGGATGCCGAAAGCAGGGTTAGTAGACAGCAGACAGCCCCTAGCGGCAGCATGCTGAACTAGCCTGTCCCCTACCAGGTGGCGCTGCTGTATTGCCCGATTTGAGCGTCGGAGCGTATCGCCACCGCCTGCCATACGCCAAGTCGTGGTCAATCAATTCACTGTGTATTAATATACAAATCGCTGAAGCATTAACAAGGCGGCTCCGCGCAGCAAAAGCGAACACAATAACGATGGCTAGCAGGCATCAGTCACAAGGCGACATGGCAATGCAAAAATCAGCTGTAAAAAGGGCCTGTTGGCTGGTGCAACACCACTAAAAACCGATTACAGAACAAAATGCACTCATCCAAATTCCAACCAACTTGGACCGATTCTGCTAGTCAATGGGCTATGAGATACGTGAATGTTTTAGCTGCGAGGAGTACCTACCTACGCGTATCTTATTATGCCACCATTTTTACTAAGTCGCCACACAGATAAATGCAAACAAAACTTACACTCATATTCACCTTACGTTTGTGCCTGGTATAAGCCATCTTTGCAGCTCACATTCAGAAGACAGCAAAGCCGTGACTTTTTTACCGATACAATATCACATGAAAGAACGCATTATCAATGCACGTGCGTGCAACTCGGACACAACTCGCTAAGGGCGAAGTTAGCGGCCACGTGCTAGAGCATCACTACATGCATTCATACATGACCATGTGGCGAAACGTCAACGCTAACCAATCACGGACACTCGTGAGTAGCTGGTCCTTCAGTCCACGAGGCAGGCTGCCGAGCTAGCCACTGGCTCTACGCTTCAGTGTTCCTCTATCGGTCCGAACGTCGATGTCACACCCCACACCTCCACTGGTCCGGCTCGGTCCGCCGTCCTCGTGGAGACAGTTCAGCCAGGACCGGACGGCGCTCTCTGAGATCAGTCCTCGCCTGCCATTTCCCCTCACAAGTCATCGAATCTCAGCTAAAATCACTCAGCTAGCCTCAACACTGATCTTGCTCGACCTCACGCATGGGCAGCGCTAATCGTTATTGTCTGAGAGGAGCAAGTGAAGACGGTTGCACTGATGAAGATCCAGAGTCGTACGCTGGATCGTAGCTTCAAGGTTCTGACACCAAATCGATCCGGACAGCTGCTATTAACACCGAGTCGACCCAGTCAGCTGGTCTTTACACCGAATCGACGCCGTTTTTACACCGAGTCGATGCCACTGAGCTGTGCACAGGCCATCATCAGGATGTCTTTCTTCTCCTTGGGGAAGCGCAGCTCTCTGCCGGCTCGCCGGGCCTGCTCCAGCTCGGCGTCGGCGGCGCGCAGCTCCTGGGCCAGCACGTTCGGCATCTCCTGAGAGCGAGACGAGGGATGAGTCAGAGATTACAGGTCAAAGGTCAGGGCCAAGAGGACGAGCCGGAGGTCAGGGTCAGGAGCGAGCAAAAAATAACAAATGACGTCGATTGTTATCAAGGCAATCGATGTCAAAAGGTATTTATAATATGCCGATTTCTGGGCAAAATAAAGTGAAATAACTATACGGTGAACGAACGGTAAACAATAAAACAGACCGCAAAATAAAATAAACCTTAGTAAACGTATAAGCCATAAGCCAGTGACCAGGTCATGTAAGGTATAAAAATGATTTAACGTGAAGCTTTAAATCTCCTGTCGCAGCCACTCCGGAGCTCCTCATAGCCTGCCGCCCAGAGGGCACCACCATGCACCCATACCGTCCACTGTAACACACCTGTTCCCTCGCGATCCAGTCGAGCGCCATCTGCGACCTCATGTCATCGTCCAGAGTACGGTGCGAGTAGTGAGCGACCACCTCCTGTCGGGAGCACTGCCGCTCGCGCATCGCCTGCCGAGAGGGTGGTACGGTTATACGATATCCAGTTACATACAGTCACATGGAGTCATGCTCAGTCGCCAGTCACATCTCTAGCTGCTTAGAGTCCAACAGCTGTCCAGAGTTACGACTTAGAAGTACGGAGTCATATGAGGTTATATGAAGAGCACAAAAAAACGATAAAGTTTTAATCCTATTAACCCTCGCGGCCTCGCCCGTAAACGGCGATCTGCCACCTTCGCCGATGCAGGGGGGGGGGGTTGGTGCGACCCCCCTTGGCGTTTAAAAACGGAGCGTCGTAGAGCTTAGCGGAAAAAACCAACGGATTGCTCTCGCCGAGATCTCGCGATTGGTGGTATATTTTTTGGTCCTAGGTCAACATTTGACCTACTTTTGACCGGTCAAAGGTCAAATTTTCGGAAAAATAGACTTTTTTCAACTTTCCGCGGCGATTGCGGCAAAAACGGTGGAAGATATCGACTTGAAACCTTCACTATCGTGTTCCTTGATCAATTCTCTATCGTTTGGTATGTATTTCGTTTCCCTAGCTCTAAAAATGGCGCGTTGGGAGCGCCGGAAGTCGGCAAGGTCACAGTCGGCGGCAGAAATTCGAAAAATCTAAAATTAAATTTTTGAAATCTGATTGTATTTTTGGATTTGGGAGGTCCATTTGCTCCCTATAGAAGCTAATATTGCTGCATATTCTCATTGAGGTGACAAGAATTAGCAAAATAGTGGTTCGGGCGCTTTTCAAAAATAGTACCGGACGCTGTTCCTCTTGTGACGTCATAGCTCCATGACCTGACCTGACCCGGTCAAGTTTCTTATACCATATGATAGCCAATACTTGCCCCCAACATGCATGGGAAATTTCATCACGATACATCAACCGATGTCCGTACCACCGGCAGGAAACCTCGGGCGTTGGCACTCAGTTTGTGAAAATCCGGCCGGAGGCTGTTCCTTTTGTGACGTCATAACTCCGTGACCTGACATGACCCGGTCAATTTTTTTTATCAAAAGATGCACAAGGTTCGCCCCATAAAGTACCCAAAATTTGGCGGCGCTGCGCGCCGCCGTTTTTGCACTATTTCCGAAAAACCTCAGGGGGGTTGCACCAACCCCCCCGTCCCCCCCCCCCCTACATGGGCGAGGGTTAAGAAACGTTATCAAGTTTTATTTCGTTGAACTATGCATATACCCACCAAAGTCCGAACATAATATTTCTAAAAAGATTAAATGAAATTTTGTACCGTAAAAAATGCATTGCATTGAACAAAATGCCAGCTGATGTTTACTTTTGATGGCAATTACCTTCAGTGACCCGTTCCAGTGTAGCAGCTGGAAGACGGTCATCAGCTCCTGGAACTCCAGCATCGTCTTGCCCTTGTTTGCCTCCAGCATGAAGCGGAACGCGCCGATGCCCGTGTTGGGATTATCGGCCACGTCTTGGCTGCCCTGAAGCGAAGAGGAATCGTTACTGAGATGTGCTCGATGGTGACTGAATTTACACAATGGACGATACGGCACCATAAAGGTAGCGCTTGAAACAGCATTACAAACTATGAACGGCATGAAATGAACGGCATTCGGATCATATATAACTGGCATGGAACATCGCTGTCTACCTAATCCTCATAAAATAGCGCAAATAAGTAGAACGATTGTATATTTCAACGACTCAGTTACAATGACCAACAAAAACCACAAACAGTCCAGAAGCAGGGTGTTACCTAATTTATAATGCTCTATCTCCAACACATAACCATAACAATTGTGTTTTATGCCAGCCAGGCCCCGCTGTCGCCGCCACTCACATTGAAGGTGGTCCTGGCGTCACCGATGGCTCGCTCGATAAACTCGTCCGAGATGCAGCGGGACGGGTGGTCGTTGAAAACAGAGTTCATCAGCGCTATTTTGGCGCTGCTCCGCCGAGCCTCCGCCTTGGTCGGGCAGTTCTGTAGGTGAGGGACAAAAGACGGTCAATAAACGGTCAGAGGTCACAGGCGAACGGTCATAGAGTAACTATCACATCCCACGGCATATAGTGAAATGAATGGTGACAGAAAACACGGTAAAAGGGAAATGGTTACAGGTGAGTGTCAAAGACAGAAATGGAAAATATTAAAAGGTCAAGAGTCGACAGTCAAAAGTAAGCGGTGAAGAAGTCGAGCTTCCGGCGGCCAACGGTCAACGTCTGATCATAAAAAACATTTAATATTCAACAGTCAACGGTCAGCCCAAATATGTGAGCAAGAGTGTGTGTGAAATGCAATGCTCGACTACGTGACAAAGATTGCTGGATATTTGCCGCGCTTCGACATTTATCAGGCTTACATATGTAGACACGAATGCATAACACGTGTCGGAAATGAATTTTCCTCTACCCGATTAGAGCTATCCGATTTACTCCTCAGTATGCATGAACAAGGGTGCGGCGATTTCCGGCGCCGGCTCCCCACCGTATCGCATCGACCGTTAAACATGCATCAGAGGCCGTTTGCATGCTGCACACTCGCGACTGTCCGGCAAAGCTTGCACTGCAACATGATCTATGGGAGGACAGGACTGCCGGGGGTGCAGATGCAGCATTACCGTCTGTTCCTCTCCCTCCCATCTCTGCCTGACATTATCCCTCTCCCTCCCAACGCAGTACGCGCCCTCCTTACACTAACGAACTTTTGCCCTCGGAACTTCCCTCTCTCTTCCTTTATCTTCTTAATCCTTTCCAGTCGCACCTTTCCGTCTTACTCTCCATCCTCCTTTTTTCCTTCTCCATACCCTCTCTCTCCATCCTCATCCTCTCTCTCTCTCTCTCTCTCTCTCTCTCTCTCTCTCTCTCTCTCTCTCTCTCTCTCTCTCTCTCTCTCTCTCTCTCTCTCTCTCTCTCTCTCTCTCTCTCTCTCTCTCTCTCTCATCCTCTCCCCTTCCCCTACATACTCTCTCTCTCTCTCAGCCCGGTCCATGCGGCGTGCGACAGCCCCCACCACCCTCCGTATCTCCGGAGCAGAAGACGCCGCTCCGGCCGGGACCCAGACGGGTCGTAATCGGCCGGTCGGCCGGCGCCCCGTGCTCCTGCAGCCCAGAGACCAGCAGAGGCGGCCGGTGCTGTCTGGCACCGTGCCAAAGGCCGCCCGAGGCCGGCGCGGTTCGGTGGAGCCTGCCCGGCCGCTGCCGGCGGCGGCGCGGCCGGCCGGCCCGGCGGCCAGCGTCGCAGTCAGCTCCGCCGCCACAGACGCCACTGTCTGTTCAGGGAGGAGATTTACTGCTGCCAGACACGGTACAGAGGTGATTGAGGCGGAGGGATGCAAGAGCTGCAGGAGGAGCTGGGGCTGATACTAAGGATGGAGGGATGATGAGCTATGCTGGGTCGCACGGCTGGTTTCCACCCTGTATCCCATCCTACAGCGTGAAATCATCAACACCGACCCTTCTGTCTTATTCAAGTCGGCAAGATCACTTTACTACCCGCAGTCGGTGCCGTGCACAGTAGATCGGCACCGAATGGGACTTATTCTATCGCTGCATCCAGCCCAGTCGCTCCTGCTTCCGTTACGCCGTCCGTCCACCGTCAACCGTCAGCCGTCAACCGTCAACAGTCCACCGTCCACCGTCCACCGCCCTCCATCCACCGTTCCACCGTCCGCCGTCCGCCGCGCGGTCGCGGTCCGCCATCGACAGTGGTCTGACCGACTTCTCTCCACCGGTTCCCGGGTCGGGCGAGGTGCTCAGGCGGCGCTCTGCGGTCCGCCCGGCCAGTTATAGCCATCGGATCGACCACAGACTCCCCCGAGGCAGGTATGTAAAGGGGCCCTGACACTTGCACGATTTGGTGGCACGCATTGGCACGAATCGAATCGTGCCCGTGCGCATACTAGTCGTAAACTAACGTGAAGTGTTCGTTAGCTCGTCGTGACTTCGTGCCATGTCGGGGCGAGAACTTTGAAATGTTCAAAGTTTTGGTCACGACACAATTTCGTGATCGGATCGTGAACTATGCGCAAACTGTTCGTGAGCTCGTCGTGAACTCGTCGGGACGGTGCGGGAAGTGCGTAAACTATGCGCAAACTATGCGAAAAGCATTCGTGAACTCGTCGTACCAGCCCGTGCCAATGTGTGGATCGCGGCTTGCTTCGCAGCGCGAAATTTAGGATTGTTTGGTGTTTTTTCCCGAGTCGATTGGACGCCTAGATGGGAAGTTATGACCGAAAATGTGTTTAGCGGGTCATTCCAGGTCAAAGAGGTCAAACTAGGTCACACGGGCTCATATTAGGTCACAGAGGTCAAATTAGGTCACATGGTGTCAGGTTAGGTCACCATGAGGTCACGATGGGTCACGCCAGGTCACAGAGGCCAGCCATAGTCACGATAGGTCAGTCCAGGTCAAACTGGTCACATTAGGTACGGTCAGGACATTTGCGTCACTGGAGGTCACGATGGGTCAGGCCAGGACAAGGGTTGTAAGCTCCGTTCTGGGAGGTTCTCCGTTCTGTTCTCCGTTCCGCTCCCAGTTCTGGGACGTCCCATTCTTATATGGCATGCCCAAGTCGGCACAAATTGCGCAATCTTGTCGTGCCAATGCGGGAAGTGCGTAAACTATGCGCAAACTATGCGGAAAGTATGCGTGAACTCGTCGTACAGTCGTGTACAGGTTGATGGTCCTCTACTCTTTATCCACCGGCATAGGTGGAGAATTGTGACCAGCTGGGGGTGCTCGGGCGCACCCAATCCGCCGCCGCCTAGCGGTGACCTTGACCCGCGCCGCCCGGCCGCGGCTCCCAAGCCAAGCCGGCGTGGAATTGGGAGAGCTCGAGCACCCCCAGTCCAGCACAATTCTCCACCCGTGTCCACCGGGTTCCTATGGCTCAGCATTGGCAGCAGCCGCCTGGTACCGGTAGGCTGTGCCGCATGACCCGAAAGTTATGCGGCACAGTCTACCCACGCCGTTTGACATCGGCTCGGGTCGCCGGGTGGAGCGCTTTGTAGACCAGTTGTTGCGTCAGACCATGGCGCGGGGGGGGGGGAGGGGCTCATCTCAGTGGTTGGCGTGGGCTGGCGTGTGGTGTGGGGCGCGTGTTGGTGGACCATGGGGGCTGGTCGGGTGTGTGTGGTCACTTCCTGGACCTGCATTGCACATTTTGCGTCGCTTAACAATTGCATTCCTGTTTTTGATAAGCACAATGCACGAAAGACCCAGCGAATATAATTTACTTTACTTGTGCATTGTGCAAAACGTGATTTGGCACGGTATCGAGGCAACCATAGGTCTTGCGCCTATGCATGATATTTAGGCAATACGTTTATGAAAACGGTAGATGGATACTGGATGTCAATTCGTATGCTAAATGTCGGCACGTATTAAATGAATGAATGAATCAATCAATCAATCAAACAATCAATCGACATGTATAAAACCGTAACCACTAATAGCAATCAAACCATCCTAACTCGGAAAAGCAGCCGGAGCCCTGATGAGGCTCGAACCGGGACTCCACGCTGTAAATGTTGCCTATGATCCATCATCATTCCACCAAGCTAGAGTAACCGGCACCCGAACCCACAAAAACATTAATTGACTTTGCCGCCGACCTCCCGGCCCCGCCGCCCGCCCGGCCAGACTTTGCCCCGGCCATAGCCACCATCCGGTGTAGCTCAGCGTAGGAGTGCTCGACTGTCAAGCTGACCGGTAGTGAGGGGCCCGGTTCGAAACGCTTCGGATGCTGGATGTTTATTTCTCGTTGGGAGGCTTTGCGTTTAGTCCACTTTTCAGAAAGATCATTTGGTGACTGACCTGTTTTCTTTTTTTTTTTTTTTTTGCTGCGCTGCAATTCATGAGGAGACCGTATGCACCCTTACCTGTCCTTCCGCATCCCACTTTGGAGATGGGTGGTTGCCCCCCCCCCTTCCATGGGTTTTGTGAATATATCTAAAACGAATTTTTGGAGGGTGGATTACGATCGGTTCTATGCGACAAGTGACCACACACACCCAGCCCCAGGTCCGCTCACTCCCTCCCCACATCACCCCCTCCCCACAACACACTCCAGCCCGCCTCATCCACTGAGCCGAGCCATAACGAGCCTCAGCGCCCCGGGGCGCGACCTGTCAGCGAACCGGCGGGGACGCGGGCCGGCGGTTGCGTGCGCCGCGGGGGCAGGGGCGCGTCCAGGCGTCGGGGACATCGAGGCGGCGCGAGCTGGCGCCGCCACGGCTGGCGCCGTGTTCGCTGACAGGTCGCGCCCCGGGGCGCTGAGGCTCGTTATGGCTCGGCTCAGTGGATGAGGCGGGCTGGAGTGTGTTGTGGGGAGGGGGTGATATGGGTAAGGAGTGAGCGGACCTGGGGCTGGGCGTTTGTGGTCACTTGTCGCATAGAACCGATCGTATCCCCCCTCCAAAAATTCGTTTTAGATATATTCACAAAACCCATGGGGGGGGGGGCAACCACCCATCTCTCAAGTGGGGTGCGGAAGGACAGGTAAGGGTGCATACGGTCTCCTCATGAATTGCAGCGCAGCAAAAAAAAAAGAAAAGAAAACAGGTCAGTCACCAAATGATCTTTCTGAAAAGTGGACTAAACGCAAAACCTCCCAACGAGAAATAAACATCCAGCATCCGAAGCGTTTCGAACCGGGTCCCTCACTACCGGTCAGCTTGACAGTCGAGCACTCATACGCTGAGCTACACCGGATGGTGACTATGGCCGGGGCAAAGTCTGGCCGGGCGGGCGGCGGGGCCGGGAGGTCGGCGGCAAAGTCAATTAATGTTTTTGTGGGTTCGGGTGCCGGTCACTCTAGCTTGGTGGAATGATGATGAATCATAGGCAAAATTTACAGCGTTGAGTCCCGGTTCGAGCCTCATCAGGGCTCCGGCTGCTTTTCCGAGTTAGGATGGTTTGATTGCTATTAGTGGTTACGGTTTTATACATGTCGATTGATTGTTTGATTGATTGATTGATTCATTCATTCATTCATTTAATACGTGCCGACATTTGGCATACGAATTGACATCCAGTAGGTATCCATCTACCGTTTTCATAAGCGTATTGCCTAAATATCATGCTAGGCACAAGACCTATGGTTGCCTCGATACCGTCATGCCAAATCACGTTTTGCACAATGCACAAGTAAAGTAAATTTTATTCGCTGGGTCTTTCGTGCATTGTGCTTATCAAAAACAGGAATGCAATTGTTAAGCGACGCAAAATGTGCAATGCAGGTCCAGGAAGTGACCACACACACCCGACCAGCCCCCATGGTCCACCAACACGCCCCACACCACTCGCCAGCCCACGCCAACCACTGAGACGAGCCCCTCCCCCCCGCTGGTCTGACGCAACAGCTGGTCTACAAAGCGCTCCACCCGGCGACCCGAGCCGATGTCAAACGGCGTGGGTAGACTGTGCCGCATAACTTTCGGGTCATGCGGCACAGCCTACCGGTACCAGGCGGCTGCTGCCAATGCTGAGCCATAGGAACCCGGTGGATAAAGAGTAGAGGACCATCAACCTGTACACGAGTGTACCAGTCCGTGTCAATGTGGACACTGATGGGCACGCATTCGTGAATTATTCGTCAAATCGTCGTGAACTGGTCGTGCACTAGTCGTGAACAGTGCGGGAGCCATCCCAATTCGTGCACGAAAATGGCACGGCTTGCCACGACAAAATCGTGACCAAAAGTCGTACAAGTGTCAGGGCACCTTAACTACTGAGAGTTCTCCTCTCGGCTGCCACTCCGGTGCAGGTTTTCCGAGCAGCTCACAGCGATGCAATTCGCGCTGCGATGGATCCTTAGAATGCGGCCTCGTTCGCAGGACTCACTGCTCTCGTCTGGGCTCGTCTATAAGCGAGTTTCAGCAGGTCAGGCAGCTGATATCCCGTTCGCGTAGCTGACCTGGCGGTAGCGGGTAGGTGTGTTTTTGCGATCGAGCTGACAGAGCCACGATGATCGGCCGATCGTACGACGTGTGCGGCGGTAGAGTGGGGACTGGAGAGTGTAACGGTCCGGCTCGCGTAAAAACACCGCCCGCAGCACGCTGCCGCCACACGCACACGTGCAGGGGAACACTCGTGCGGGCTGGGATATATGGTGTAGAGCTAACTTGCTGAGTCAGATCTCTGATTACGGAGCGAGCGAAGCGAGCGTAGTCTTTCCTTAGATTAACGGAAATTTCTGAGTATGAGCGGCCGGCCGGCCGTGGTCACGCTTTTGCGAGGCTTATATCTCAGCAACCACTTGACCGATTTACACGCGGTAATTTTTGTAGGGTAGCTTCATTCCTTCTACCAAGTATTGGACTATTCCCGATACATGTGGGTGACCCCTTATGCACGTGCCACGTGCAAAACGAAGAGGTGTCAATTTTGTAATTGTTGCAATATCTCGGTAACTGCTTGGCCGATTGCGCTGAAAGTTGGCATGTAGGTAGGCACCCACTAGGCACTGCATATACATGTGCCAGAGTTGGGGTGCTGCTGCACGTGCGCACGTGCAGGGGTCGTTTCCAGATCTCGAGAACGGCTCGACCGATTGCGCTCAAATTTGGTACACAGTTAGGGACCGGTTAGTAGGGTGCCGTGCAAAACTAAGTTGGGACCCATTTTGCACGTGCGCACGTGCAGGGTGCCGCTTCCAGATCTCGAGAACGGCTGGGCCGATTGTGCTCAAATTTGGCACATCGCTAGAGACCGGTTAGTAGGGTGTCGTGCACAAGTCAGCTGGAGGTACCTCGTCGAAATTTCGCACGTGCAAGGCTCACCCTCTCGCTCGCTCCGTTAGTCGCCCCAAAAGGCGTTATACTGGTTTATCATTATCGAGCCAGAGCAGAGGCGGGATCTTTGAGTATCGGCGGCTTTTGAGCTATAAGTGACTGAGTCATTTGTGGTTGTGACTAATTTCAGCTTATAATGCTGGGTTTTTCTTTCTGGCCAATGCACGGAGTGTTAGCACACGAGGCGAGGACTTTTCATGAGACTGTGGTCTTCAGAAATAAGATCATATCTTGCCAGTCATCGGCTTTGGACGCTGGTTGCAAGGTCATCCCGGTGCATAGAAATGTCACCTGCCCGAGGGGAAAGGAGGGCTGCATTAGCCCTAGCCTTGCAGTACGGATGCACTATTCCAACAGCAGGCAGTTGGATTTGTATGTGGTTTGCACCGCAGCTGATACGATCTAGGTGATGTGCATTCACACATACAAACGTGCTCTGGCGTGGAAACAGCATAGACGTTCCCTGACTTATGCAGGATTCACCTGAACTGATCATGCACGAACTAGTTATGCCTGAGACTTCGTCAAGGTTTAGTTGTTTGAAAACGAGGCGAATCTCCTGATCAGTCACCAGCCCACCTCCTCGCCTCCCTTCTGCTATTGTCCACCCCACCTTGACCCTCTGGTCGGCGTTTGTTAGCACCCCCCCCCCCCCCCCTCCTACTATCAGCTGATGGCGCCGGGCGGCGCTCAGCGCCTGAGGCTGGAATCTGCGGCATCCCCCGATCCGTGAGCGTGTCTCGAACCTCGCTCCCTCCGTGAAATCGATCCCGACCCAGTCGGTCGGTCGGCCCGCATCGGCCGACCCCCATTATCGATAAACAGCCATTTAAAAACGGCGCCGCCCACCAAAACATCACGTGACCCTGAAAATAAGGCCATGAACGCCATGAAAAGAGGGGTGGACCGTTCACATACCTTTTTAATGCTTATTTTTAAATGCCGTTTTGTTAGGAGAGGATACTAAAACGACCCACACCGTCCTGTCTGGACTGACCTGGAAGATGCCGAAGCAGACCTGAACTGACCTGGAGCCTGTCGAGGCAGATCTAAACTGATTTGAAAACTGCCGAAGCAGAACTGTACTGACTTGAAAACTGCCGAAGCAGACCTGAACTGACCTGGAAACTGTCAGAGCAAACCTAGACTGACCTGGAAGCTGCCGAAGCAGACCTGAAGTGACCTGGAGCCTACTGAAGCAGACCTGTCGATTGGCCTGGAGCCTACCGAAGAGGCAGACCTGCACTGATCTGGAAGCTGCCGAAGCAGACCTGAAGTGACCTGGAAGCTGCCGAAGCAGACCCGGACTGACCTGGAGCCTACCACAGAGGACCCGCACTGACCTGGAAGCTGCCGAAGCAGCTGCCCCCCGGTAAGGTGACGTAGCAGACGTAGGGAGGACACGAGGCCGGCACCGACTCGTAGATGACCAGGGCGCCGTTCTTCAGCTGCGCCCCCCGCGCCTGCTTCAGCTGCCAGAACTCCTGCAGCGCCTCCACCACATTCACTGGGGAGCGAGCAGACATTGCGTCAGAAATCAGACATCAACGGAGCAGAAAGGGCTGAAGGACATGGGCACGCTTCACAAAGACGGCATTTATATAAAAGCGTTTGAATGTAAAAGAAAACTATACGAAAAAGGAGGCCTAGAAGCGCTCGGTGTAACTATTTTGATTGCAACCTACTAATGAGTGTTTGATTGTCCTGTAATCGGCAAGCCTGCTTAATTTATCTCTTGCTGCACATTATTGATTAACGATAGACCTGCGATCACCAAACGGTCATGCAGTCGAAGTGTCTAAGGCCCAATAAACAATCGCAATGATGGCTGCTCGTTCGCACGTCTCGTTAGACGTTGGTCGGCAGTTTCAGTAGCCCGTCTGACCGCCTCTGTGAGCACAGTGTCTGTAGTAGCGCCGGGCTGCGGCCACCGCCGCCGCCGCCGCCCGCAGGCACCACGCCGCCGCCGCCGCCGCCGCCGCCAATAATCATAAATTATGTAGCCTGCGCGGAGACGGCGGCGGAGGCTGTCCGACCCCGCGCATTGACCTTCTGCGAGACGACTTTTGTACACCAATACATCGACTGTTGAATGTCTCAACATCAGTCATGAGAAGTTGCGGATCCCGCACACATCGATCGTCTCAGCATCGTCAGTTGGGACGACCTCGAGACCCGACCGTTTGAGCAAGAGCTAACTGTACCGTGTGCAGCGCAGTGTGCACGAACATGTGCACGTAGCTCTACGAATGTTAATTACAGTACAGCAATGCTGCCGACCACAGCGTAATAAATAACTGAGTGACCTCACACACCAGTCGTCATGACTATATAATCTACGAGATGGACACTGTTGTGGCCGAGCTGTATCGATTATATGTTTTTTGTCTGATAACCTGCAACGATCCTCAGAGAACCCGGAGAGCGGTCTCTAGATCGAGCAAAATACAGGAATGAGTCCGATAAAATCACAGGGAATCGACAGACAATAGCAGCAAACATGCCTAAAAACATAGCGGAAGAAAAACAGAGGAAGGCGTACCAATGTGGTATGTGGCACAATTATTCTAAGTGTGGAATTGTTTGGCGGTTTACTTTATGGTAGACATGTTTAAAACGTATTGTCTTGTGTTCTAAGGATTTAAAAAGCAGCCTGATGAAGGAGGCAGCGGCCCCCGAAAGCTACCGATTCCTATACATTTTACTGGTGTTGAATTATTTGTTTCTGAATATGTGACAATGCAAATCGTCGTCGGAGCGCACCACTGTCCCTCTTTCCCGTGGCACTCTTTATGTCGCTCGTACCTAATTTATCATTTCACCCATCTCACACTACTATGAACACATAAGTTCAAGCGAGACAGCAAGCATCGGATCATGTCACTGCCGCAATTATCTCCCGAGTCGCCGCTGTAATCACCTGCGTGGCGGAGTTCACAGTTTAGTGCTAGAGGCGCATTCTCCGTTGCAGTCTCCCGCTGGCTAGTGTTAGTGCTACATGCAGCATCGCAGTCTCCGCTGAGTCGGTCTGATACCCACATTATCGTAAATATTTCGTGCTTGAAAGAAATAATATTAGATTTTGAGGTCCTTTTCCTTTATTGAGGTTAACTTTTTAACATTTTACCAGGCGATTAGCAGCAGCAGAGCAGCGGCTTAGCAAGCACTGCACTCTAACAAAGAAGAAGGGAAAACTTGTACTCGAAGAAGAACTCGGTAATCATAGACATGGCATCAAGTGATTCATGTATAGATGTCTGCCTAGATGGAAAAATCGCAATATCATTTTTTCTCTCGCGAAGTCAGCATGACAATGTCCTAAGCATTAGGCATATTCATATGAATGCTATATTTTCTACCAATTTTCCTTTACTGATCAGGATGTGGTTTTGAATAACACTTGCTTATTTTTCATGCACAAAATCTTAACCACAAAGCTGGACGTCATAGCCACATTCACTGACACGTGTCTCAATTCGAAAGGAATTCAGAAAATACCAAGCAATTTACAGCGGAGTTTCCATAAGCAGTACACGAACAAGCTCTATGCGTTCTGCATCACGACAAAAAAAAAACCTAGGTAAGTAGTTAGCAGTTTCCTTGCGCACGGCGATATACCCAGTGATAGTCGTATTCAGACACAGGAAAAACGCTACTGGGCATTCCAATGAAATGCTGACAGCTGCCAGTCGGGAAACGGCGACCTAATGGCCAGCCGTTCACTACATTTATGGTTTATTACACAGGGGAAAGGAAATAGATATGGGGAGAGAGGGAGAGAGAGAGAGGGAGAGAGAGAGCTAGAGAGAGCGAGAGAGGAAGAGGGAGAGAGAGAGAGAGGGAGAGAGAGAGAGAGAGAGAGAGAGAGAGAGAGAGAGAGAGAGAGAGAGAGAGAGAGAGAGAGAGAGAGAGAGAGAGAGAGAGAGAGAGAGAGAGAGAGAGACCGATGCCATCGCCATTTTTGCGCAAGCCAGATCCCAGCAAACATTTACAGCAATCATGACAATAAGATGCCACGCGTTTTACGTGTAGGGTAGGGTGCGACTGTATGGTGACTGCAATAAGGCACATGTAGATAGCACCAGTGCCACTTCGGCAATCCATTCATCCATTCCTTTATCGGACCAAAGTCGTCTGCTGACTCACGCATGGCTCCCAGAACAACTGATACAGCCGCCAGTTGATCCTATTCCCCTTCTATGTGACGCTCAATCCATAGGTAATGAGCATCCCTTTCGAGATGAGTCAGGAACAAGCAAGCAGCCTCCATAATTCACCTCTACCGCTGGGTCTCGAGCATTGCTACCTATCCTTTTCTAAAAAATCATAGTTCAACGCGGCGTCTCGTCCGTGTACCCGTGCTCCACCTGCCTCTGCCTCCGTCTCCGGGGAGGCAGAGGCAGCCTTTGTTGTGAGGCAGAGGCAGCCCTGACCTGCCTTTGTTCTCGCTACCGGTCAGAGCTCCACTCCCACTTACCTTTGTCCTACGCCGCCGGGACTCCGACCTACCTTTGTCCTGTGAGGGCCGCAGGTGGTCGTACGGTGACGAATACACGCGCCACGGCTCGTCAAACGCCATGGAGCTGAGCATGACGGTGTTGCGGACACAGCACACCGTGCCAGCTCCCGGCGGACAGCGCGTCTGCGGACACCGGACAGCGGGCGGACACTGGCGGCGGCGGCTCGAGACTGGCGGCCGGCCGTTCGGCGTCCGCCACCCCTGTCCGGCCGGCCCGCCGCTCCGGCCCGCCCGTTCCGGCACACAGACACACACACAGACGGACGGACCGCACGGCGGACTGATACAATTTGGCGGCCCGTGAAAGGTCTCACGGCGAATTATTGCAGTTCGTATTGTGCAGCTGTTTGGCTGATACTGACAGCACTATAATTGTGTTCCTTTGAGGTGACCTTGTGGTGAATTAGACCCTCACTGACACCGCGCTCCTCCGCCAAGATAAGTCCCGACCAAAGCCGACCGGGCAGTCCGATAACTCTGACAGGGGACGCCGTTTAACTCGCCAGACCCGGAGCGGAGAAACAAAAACTGGCTGCGCGTCAGCGGACCTTTAAAAATATATGTCGCTACAAGCCGCCTCTGCTAGTCGGCGGAATTAGCCTAGACAGCATGCAAACGCCGTGTTCAACACGAATCGTGGGACAGAAACACCTGTTAATGAAAAATGGCCAGTTGGAGCCAAACATCTAAGAGGGTTACAACCTGTATGACATGCTGAATCGGATATCTTACTCAATACCCACGCAACAAGGTATATTTTGTCAAGAAAGGTATTTGATCACTAGCCCGTTTAGTGTTTTCTAATAGGCGATATCTGATAATAAACCGTTCCTTTATGATATTTATTTTGAAAGTTAGTGGCAACCGCTTCGAATATGAAATGGTCTGGTCTGTTCTGGTCTGGTCTCGGATGATCTCGTCTGGCTCTGTCTCGTCTCGTCTCGTGCCTCTCCTCTCTCCCTCTTTCGGTCCTCTCTATCTCTTTCTCTCCCTCTCCTTTCGAGGACAGTTGGGTCATAAATCGAAACCGTGCGCCTGAGGACCGGCCTCCACTGACCCGGCCCCGCCCGACACCCCTTTGTTGGAGCTGATAAGTGGACAGATTAGAGCCTGTGTGGTCCAACTGCGCTGAGACGCAGGCTCGGCGCGGTCTCTCCGGCGGTCCGGAGGTCTTATTTAGCCGGACCGGGGACCGGGACCAGGGCCGGAGTCGGACCATGGGGCGGAGGACGGCCGGAGACGCCGACCATTAGAGGAACCCCTGCCGAGCCGGCGTCCGTCCGGTGAGAATTATCCCAGGGACGGCACAAATAACAGGAAATGAAAGAATGCTCCATCGACCCCGGCTAGGGGTGGGGTACGGGCTTCATCAGATAGAGAATGGGCTCCTGAGGCCCTATAGCTCCACATAGGAGAGGACGCTGAGCCATCAGCCAGCTCAAAAGGCAAAGCAGATGGATAAAGGACACACCTCCAAGTGTTTCACGCTAAAAACAGTATTTGAAAACAAACAATTGTTTGTCATTATTGTTTATTCGTCTGAAAGAAAAGTGACCGATATGTAAGTATGTTCTAATTCTAGGTACCTACATACCTTTGAACGTGAACCAAACCTCAAATATTGTTCAAAGCCGAGTGCCAACCTAAATTGTTACCTGCTTCAAAAGTGCTAAAAACCACGGCGGTTGACCACAAATTATTTTCTAACGCTGGGCCTGGGGGGCAACGCGATAGCCGCCGTAGTCCGATTCGCGACGAAGGTACCTACTCTGGAGCGTCGTTGTGCGTGATAATATACGGCAGCGCTTCAAGAAGTCATTTGGATTCATTATGAGGCTGACAAATGTGTCATACCTATACCCCTCCCCTCTCTTTCCACACCCAATAGAGAACCCGTCAGACAGTAGCGGCGGAACACCTTCGATTAACCCTCGCCCGCACATGCCATTTTCCCATCCTAGAACGCACATGGGGGGGGGGGGGTGGTTGCCACCCCCCGCGCCATTTCGTTCCTGTTGGAGATAGAGCTTAGCAGTAAAGACCAAATAGATCTTTGGGAAGAGACGAATCCAATGATACCCAGTTTTACCTTCTCAGGTCAGTCATTGACCTTCCAGGTCAGGTCAAACTAAAAAATGTTGCTGTTTTGGGTCACCGTTGGATATCAAGTGCGCTGCTTATCAAATACCGATGACGATGCTGCTTTCTGGTGCCAAGCCAGCTAGAACCTCTTTGTCACACTATCCTACCAGAATTTTGCTGCTGAGGTCATTTCAGGTCAAGTTAGGTCAAGGTCAATTATATGTGTTTGTATGTCTGTGTGTGTCTGTGTGTATACTGATGTGTGCACCGATTGTTTTTGGATCCATATCACATAAAATCATGATCTGAGAAGCTTTACCAAAAATGCAGTCAAAAAACTTCACAAAAAGTAAATTCAGCTTGCCTAAAACGCAATTATCTTAGATGACCTAGGTTGACCTTGACCCTGACCTTGACCCCTGTACATCGTCGAACAACATGTTCCATGATAGGTGGGAGGTAAGACTTGCAAGAAAGGCCGAAATCAGGGTGTCAAAAGCTCACAAGGCCCATGGCAAACGCAAGATGTTGAGAATTGGCCATTTGGGTCATGACATGACCTGAAAAACAAGGTCATATCTCCAAAACCAAAAATCACAGAAACTTGAAATTTTCAGTGGACATCAAGAAAGGATAGAGGAGCAGCTATACGAAAAATCAGTCTTCTAGCTCTAAAAATGTTGAGTGCAGAGCAGAAAGACTGCCTGGGGGGGTGGCAACCCCCCCCCCCCCCCATGTGCGGGCGAGGGTTAAGGGGGACACTGCCGACTTTTAGTCTCATTCTTTCCATGCAACGCCCATAGGGCCAATGCTAAAATGCTGAAATCAAAGGGGGGCACGGTGCCCCGGTGCCCTCCCCGTTCCGCCGCCTATGCCGTCAGAGCGTTCCGGATCTCAGATCTGTCCGATCTGTCCAATGCATTACACCAAGGTACTCCGTTTATTACTTTATCATGAAGGAAATCTGGTAGCTTTTGCTGTTACTTGTTATGGCGCAGCTTAGTCAAAAATGAGTGAGCGCGAATTTTGGCTCTGTGCGGGGGAAGCAAGGCGGGGGAAGATAATAAAATATCAATATTATTTTTTAAGATTAACTACTTACTCCTTTGTCGGAACATATTCGAGGTTAATAATTTGTGAGATTGTTAGGTTCATCTTCGAAAGTTAAGAATCGCAATTTTTTATGGAGATTGAAGGTATGGAATGGAATGAATGCCTAATCGTTGTTCCAAGTCTACTAGGACACAAATTGAAATCAAATGAATTTTATTTGGTGATAAATTCTGTTAATTCCTTGAAATGTTGACATGAATGTACTCAATTTTTTAATGCTTGATGTTTGCCTTGATTATTTTAAACAATGTCGGAAACAAATTTATTGTTCACACTAAACGCTTGCCGCTAACATAATTCTTAATTCTTAATAGAGATCAAAATAGCAAAATGCTCCCAAGATACTGAGCCTTCATCATATTCTATAGCTGATTCGGATTCACTGCTTAGGGACCGTTAGATTTCCTGGCTTACTCTGTTATCTCAGCCTCTTTAATCCAATAAACATTTCGTTCATGCAATGTGAGGATCAATTTAGTTTCAATTTCACTAGCTATAACAATAATAACATTCATTTTAAGTTTGGTCTCAAGGGCTATAGATAGTGTGGTCGTATGCATCCTACCTAGGTGTTTCGTTGAAGGATTTATTCTTTATTTTCTTGTCCTGCCGAAATTGTATGGGCTCTGCAAGTTAAATATTTGACAACTTTAGGCTCAAAGCACTCCATTTTCCCAGTCTGGAACACTCTAGGGAAATAATCAACATCGTGAGCACTTAAAGGGACCCTCCCACCTTCAAAAAAGTTAATGAATTGGCATGAAAGTGATGTCGCTCGGTTCAGAAAGAGCAAAAACGAATATCTACCAAATTTCATCGAAAAATATTCACCGGTTTTCAAGATATTAGACTTTTACTTTTGTTTACTTTTTGGGATCTCCGCTGTTCCTAGCGACTTTATTTGAAAGTGCGGCATTTGTTGCGCGCAAAGCAGCATATACCACCGCGTGCTACAAAACGTTTTAGTCAAACATTTAACAGACGTTCGAAAGCCTGGTGACGTCATCAGATTCCCGTAATGGTTAAGAGATAGGGACCACGCTGGTCCCACCCTGCAAGTAAAGGGGAGAAATTTCTTGAACACCATAAAGCTGCGGGGGTTGCGACCAGGATAAATGGTGGTTTCTGAGCCTGGCCGCAAACTTGGCTATCTCAACTCAAAACTAATGTTAAGGTGGGAGGGTCCCTTTAAGTAGTTGATTAGTGACATTAGAGCCTCCAAGTGAAGTTCATGTTGGAGATTGGGCTATGGTGGCACATAGTTTACCAGAACAACTTTGAATGCCCTTAGAAAGAACATAATACCCGAGGAAGAGCACAGTGTTAAAATGATCAAAGAATAATATTATTGAGCATTGAGCATCTAATTTTTAAAGATGGCCATTGCTCATGAAAATGGGCTTGTACTGGGAGCATGCTCTGTGCAATACATGCAATTAGGAACATAAATGCTGGCAAAATAACAAAATACAAATCAAAATGAAGACACCATGCCTACATACAAAACCATTGCATAAAAGACACTAAGTTTGGAGCTGCTTTAAATTAACCTTGTGATTGCAATGCCTCTTGCTCAACACTAGCATACTCTCTCATTCTCATCAATACTTGTTCTCCTCCCCCAGAGCCGCGGATGTCTGCCGGTACCAGTACCGGCCCCGGCCTGCTGCAGCTGGCAGAGACCGCCTACCTGTCCGAGGGCGGCGCCGAGCAGCGGACGGCTGCCGAGACGCAGCTGGAGTCCGCCTGCCGCGCGGCGCCGGCGCGCCTCCAGCTGCTCCAGGCCGGCCTGACGCACCAGCTGCGGCGCCAGCTGCTGACGCGGCACGCGCCCGCCTTCTGGCGCCGCCTGCTGGACGGCCAGCTGCCCGCCGCCGTGGACAGTCTGTACGAGCTGGTGACGGCGCGCGCCGCCGCCCTGACGCGCCTGCAGACCCTCTGCGAGCAGCTGCAGGTACCGCTGCTCTGCCGCCGTGACGGGGTGCCCGACCTGCCCGCGCTGCACCTGCACCTGCTCGAGAGCGCTCTATTCAGCCAGCTGGCGCCCGGGTTCGCGGATGCGGTGCGCGAGTTTTTCGAGCGCGCCATGGCGGCGCTGCGGCCGGACCGGGAGGACGAGGACGGGGAGGAGGAGGAGGAGGACGGTGGGGAGGACCGAGAGGAGGACCCGGCGGCGGCCGCGCTCCTGGCGGAGTCGCGGCGCGTCTGCCGCCGGCTGAGCGAGCTGCGCCTGCTCGGCCCGCTGGCCGGCGGCGTGGTGGCCGACCTCATCTGCCGACAGATGGCAGCACGGGTCGACGCGGTGTGCCAGGCCGGGTTCACGCGCGGCGCCGTCGGTCGCCTGGACACCTGGTGTGAGGCACTGCTGGCTGACTGGCGCCGACTGCTCGGTGATGCCGCTGAGTTGGAGGCGGTCCGACCGCGCGCTGTGGCCTTCATGTACCAGATGTTCGCACGGAGGAGGATCGCTCAGCTATTTGACATCATTGTCGATTTTCCCGACTCGGGCCCGGCGCTGGAGGATCTCCGTGTGTGTCTGCAGCGGAGTCGTCTCCGCTCGGAGCTGGTCACATCACTGCGGAAGGCCGTGGCCACTCGGCTGCTCCACCCGGCAGCCAACACGGAGGACATTCTGTCAGCGTACGTGTCGGCGGTGCGCGCGCTCCGTCTGCTGGAGCCCTCCGGCGTGCTGGTGGACCTGGTGGGCGAGCCGATCCGGCAGTACCTGCGCGGCCGGGAGGACACGGTGCGCTGTATCGTCGCGTCGCTGACGGAGGAGGGCGGCGGACCGCTGGCCGAAGAGCTGGTGCGCGGGGAGCCGGTCGCGCCGCCCGCCGACTCCGACATGACCGACTGGCAGACGTGGACACCGTACCCGCGAGACGCGCCGCCCGCGCCCGACGCCGGCGCCAGCTCCCAGGCCGACATCATCTCCATGCTGGTCAACATCTATGGCAGCAAGAACACGTTCGTCAAGGAGTACCGCAAGCTGCTCGCAGACCGCATCCTGAAACAGGCCACCTACGATCTAGACCGTGAACTGAAGTACTTGGAGCTGCTGAAGCGGAGGTTTGGTGACGCAGAGCTGCACGAGTGTGATGTCATGCTGAAGGACCTGTTCAACTCACACCGTATCAACTGGCACATTCACTCTGAGGAGAGCCGCCGGCTGAGGAGGCAGACGGAGCCGCCCCCCGCCGCCCCGGCCGCGCCCGACTCCTTCCCCGTGCACTCTCTGATCCTGTCAGCTCAGTTCTGGCCTGACTTCCGCGAGGAGACGTTAGCTCTGCCCGAGTCCTACGAACGCTGCCTGGAGGAGTACACCCGTGAGTACCAGACGCTCAAGGGTAACCGCACGCTCTGCTGGAAGCGCCACCTAGGGACTGTGGAGCTCGAGGTGGAGCTCCCGGGTCGCACGCTGACACTGAGCGTCACACCGGTCCACGCTGTGATCCTACACCACTTCCAGTCGCGCCCCGCCTGGACGGCGGCTGAGCTCGGTCAGGTGATGAAAGTGCCCGTCTCGGCTCTCCGGCGAAAGGTGGCCTTCTGGTTATCCCAGGGTATCCTCACGGAGCCCTCCCCGGACCACTACCGACTGAACGAGGGAAGCGGCGCGGCGGCGGCGGCGGCGGCCAGCGGCGGAGAGCCGGCGGCGCTTCTGGAGGATGACGCCGACTCGCCGATGACGAGTACCGAGGATCAGAAGGAGCGCGACCTGGAGGTGTTCTGGAACTACATCGTCGGCATGCTGACCAACCTGGCCTCGCTGCCGCTGGAGCGCATCCAGGCGATGCTGAGACTGTTTGCGATGGATGGCGCCGAGCAGTGCTCCACGCAGGAGCTGAGAGCGTTTCTGGACAAAAAGGTCAAACAGCACAAACTGCTGTTTAGCGGTGGACTGTACCGGCTACCTAAGCCATGAGGTGGAGATGGGGTGGCTGATCATAAATGACCTGTGTGCTGCCTCAGTGATGTGCCACTATTGCTCTATTTTGCCGTGTGCCACCTGACTTGGGACGGAGTTTGCGAGGTGAGCTCCTATTGGTAAATGTCTGGTCGAATTACGCCAGCAGACTCCACCTGGCGCATCTAATAATTGTGATAGACTGGCGACGGCCGATTGGGTGCTACTGTTTATGTATTTTACAATGTACATACGTTCGGTCTGATGCCGAGTTCAGGTCAATGTGCTTAGCTTGTGTAACAAACTGCTGCGAATGTGTGTTATGACGATTGCCTTTATTGATTGGGTGACCTCAACATAGTTAACTCACATTGAAACAATCTCTGTCTTGATGCCGGGAGCTGGAATTGGTCGTGGACTCTGGTGAGATTGGACGTAACAACAGTCACCATGTTTGCCCCTAGATGGCAGTACCGACCGCCGTGGAACCGTTCTTATTCATTATCACTTCTCAGGCTGCCTATCCTCGGCGGTAAAGCGCTTTCGTCAACGTCTTGTCACCAAACCATTAAAAGGAATGCTTCATTTGCATGTTCATCATTACACAAACCGTACCATATTCGTGCAAAAAAGGTTTCGACGTTGCCTCCGTTTCCCGAGCTCAGTCACCAAATGGCTGTTAGGGAACCAACTGCACTGAACTCGATCACTGTCAATGTGCCTGCCTGGCGATCTTATTTGCATGGGCCATTGACCTGTCCGTACTACCTGAGTTGGAGCGGTCGTTCTTTGCTGTTCTGCTGGTGTCGTGCTGACTGCCGTTCCTATAGTGTTCCGGGTGGACGCGTGACGCAGGCCCATCACTAATTGGCCGGTTGGCGTGACTCGTGACGCCGGCTCGTGACGCAAGGACCGTGACCACGGCAGCCGGGTCGTGACGTGGCGAAGATCCGTGCGGCACGCGCCCACGGGTCACTGATTCGAAAACTCCTGGACTGGACTATCGTGCCCTACCTGTGAATAGTTCGTTCACTTAGCCTCAAAGCTCCTCTAGGGACGCTATCCATAGCCAACAAATAGTATGCCCCGGAGTTTGATGTCAGCAAAGCAGAGTTCTCTAACCTACTACCGAGGACGAGGTGACCCGGAAGAGGCATGTATCGTGTATGGCCACATACATTTGTGATGTGGCTTTCACGATGTTAACCCTCGCATGCGTGCGGCGTTTGCGAGCTTCTAATGTGTAGAGGGGGGGGTCGGTTGGACCCCCTTGCCGTTTGGCCCCTGATCGAGCTACAGCTTTGCGGAAAAAACGAGCGTGTTGCCCGTAACGAGAGGAAGCCGATGATACCCAATTTTAAGGTCCTAGGACATTGGTTGACCTTCCAGGTCAGGTCAATGACTCAAAGTCGGGAAAATCGGGACCTGTTAGAAAGTCGTTAAGTGTGGCTTCGGGGTGCTGATCACGAATATCGTGTTAGTTTTGACCCTCGCCGGCACAGGCCATTTTGAGTCCTTCGACGGCACAAGGGGGGGGGGGGGGTTGGTACGACCCCCCCTCGCGTTTGGCCCCTGATCGAGCTAGAGCTTCACGGAAAAAACGAGCGTGTTGCCCGTCACGAGAGGAAGCCGACGATACCCAATTTTAAGGTCCTAGGTCATCGGGTGACCTTCCAGGTCAGGTCAATGACCCGAAAACCGGGAAAATCGGGACCTGTTAGAAAGTCGTAAAGAGTGGCTGCCATGTGGTTTTCCGGGGTGCTGATCACGAATATCGTGTTAGTTTTGATCAGAGATGATGTCTTTAAGCATTGAGACCAGGTCGGGTCAGGTCAGGTCAGGTCAACCGGTAGGGGTTGTGACGGGTATTCGTAATACGTGTCAACCGCCTCGGACAGCTTCGTAACATGTTACGAAGGCACCAAAACTACTTCGTAAATGTTCAAATGGTTGCTAAATTCGAATTCAGCTCCAAAAACTAGCCTAGAAACATGTAAAACTCTGGAACTGGAAAATGTGAACCGAGGTCACCCGAGGTCACCAAAGGTCAATGACCTGACCTGACCTTCAGGTGACCTTGACACCCACCCCAATGCATGGGAGCAACATCAAATCACATGTTTGAACGTTTGAAACCACGAAAAGCTTGCAAACGCGTGGCTAATGCGGGCCGACATGCGCCGAACCGCGATTTCGGCCAAACATGGTCACAGAAAAGAGGTCACAGGTCAAAGGTCATAGGGGTCAGGGTCATGAAATTTTCAGGGTAGGTGTAAAATTGATCAATGCGAAGGTACTGAAAGTTTCGTGGTGATCGGCCGCTTTGTACGCGAGTTATTCGCGAAAAACCTTAGGGGGGGGGGTTGCATCACCCCCCCCCCCCTGTGCCGGCGAAGGTTGATCACAGATGATGTCTCTAAGCATTTAGACCAGGTCGGGTCAGGTCAGGTCAGGTCAACCAGTAGGCGTCGTAACGGGTATTCGTAGTACGTGTCAACCACCTCTGACAGCTTCGTAACATGTTACGCAGTCAGCAAAACTACTTCGTATATGTTCAAATGGTTGCTAAATTCGAATTCGGCTCCAAAAACTAGCCTAGAAACATGTAAAACTCGATAAAGTGAACCGAGGTCACCAAAGGTCAATGACCTGACCTGACCTTCAGGTGACCTTGACACCCACCCTAATGCATGGGAGCAACATCAAATCACATATTTGAACATTTGAAACCACGAAAAGCTTGCAAACGCACGGCTAATGTGAGCCGACATACGCGGAATCGCGATTCCGGCCAAACATGGTCTCGGTAAAGAGGTCACAGGTCAAAGGTCATTGGGGTCAGGGTCATGAAATTTTCAGGGTAGGTGTAAAATTGATCAATGCGAGGGTACCTACTGAAAATTTCGTCGCGATCGGCCGCTTTTTACGCGAGTTATTTGCGAAAAACCATGGGGGGATACGCCCCCCCCCTACACATGCGAGGGTTAACCATGCTCAGTCAAAAATGTGTGGGCCCAGTCATAACCGGTCTTGTAACCGCAGGTCATCTAACAGCCCATTACATAATAATCTCCGCAACCGTAAGTGGTTAAGCGTTCTGAGGAATATCATCATGAGAAGTATGCGCATCTGGCTGACCTTATCCTCACTTCTGTATGGAAATATGAAATTGCCAAAATAAATTACTGTATTAAAAATCGATTTTTAATACAGTAATTTATTTTGGCAATTTCATATTTCCATACAGAAGTGAGGATAAGGTCAGCCAGATGCGCATACTTCTCAATCTCCGCAACCTGTCAAACCAGAAGTTGCTTAGGGTTATATCGCCAGTTCCTTGAAGAAAAGCAATCAATCTTTCATTAATCGATGCATGTAACAAAACAACTTCAATAAGTATCTGGTGTAATATCGTATCAAAAAGCATTTAACGCAGATCGCGGTACAACGTCTTACAAAGACATTCCTATGAGAATCAGCAATAGCTGAAAAGTTCGTTAACGAAAACAGCCATCAACTGGTACAATCTCGTGATACATCCCCAAAGTACACAGTGCCAATCCACTAAGTGGCGAAGACATTCTACAAATAAGCGAGTCATACAAATTTGACGAACAGGAAGACATTGAAACATTCACTGTACTTGGTATCTCATCGGTATCGCTGCACCACTTCCGCCCCCCCCCCCCCCCAGGCGTGCTTTCGGTCACGATCTGAACCCGTCAGATCACGGACGTGTCACGGGTGGAGCTGGCCGCTCCGCGCCGCGGCTCCGCCCCGCACGAGCTGAGCCGGTGACGGGTCGGACCGGTCCGGCCAGGGGATGGGCGGGGATTACACCGGGCACCGCTAGTTCCGACACGGAGACAGGCAGAGATTTTGTCACCACGGAGAGCCGGGTAAGAGCAAGTTCCATGTTGACAACAGGGCGGTGGATGAATAGTCTAGCAGTAATATGAATAATTCATACCATAACTGGCTGCCTTGAAATCGGCGAAAAGGTGTGCACATATCACTTCGCAGTTTTACGGTGGCGTCGAGTATCAAACGGAGAGCATATACAGAGACGGTTCAACCTCATACAATGCAGTAGCCTGGCCGACAAATAGTATGCCCCTTTTCGATATGTAAATGTCACCAAGCAAACGAGCTGAACTTCTAGCCGGTCCATGCAAGAGTATTACGCCAGCTGATACACGATCGAACGAACGATCACCTCCCATTCTGACCATCCAGACATCTGATATAAAATAGCATACAAAACTCCGAGACAAATCCCAACAGCAGTCCAAAACAGGCCTCCAGACTGGCCTAACCAGCAGAATCCCCTCTTCGAGCATGCACAGAAATCCGACGAATTCCAGACATTACCCTGCAACAGTGCAACAGTAACTACCCACTGACCACTTAGACATAAGCGGACAGCCAAGCACCTCAACCTTCCCCTCATCTTCCCCCGCACCCCGTCACTGTACCGCTCCGCTCTCTCAGAGCTCGTCTCGGGTGAGCTCTGACGGTTTGTCAGCCATGTCGCCGCCGCCGCGCGCCACCCACGCCGCGTCCACGGCCTGCTGCACGTGCGGGAAGATCTGCGGGATGGTCACCTTGGGCCCCCAGGAGTGAGTTACCCTGCCCGTGTGGTCCACCAGGTACTTGTAGAAGTTCCAGTCCGGTGGCGTGGACGACTGAGCTGTGGACCAGGAGGGGAGGGGAGTTAGAGAGCAGAAACAATGCATAGGACGGCAACTGATACAATAATTCTGCTCCATTTCATAGCCTGCTACTGAATATGAGACTGCAATGGAGATCAACATCGATATGACGAACAGGAACATCGACATCGACAGTAGACACCTACTCAATGTTCAATCGGAATATTTAAAAGGGTAGCTGCGATCAAAAAATAAAATCAAACTGTCTGCTGACCGGTCGGCTTACTATGTTGATTTTCCGACGCTATCAAGCAGTTAGGAGAGAAATTCCATGATCAGCACGCACATCTACTCGAATGGGGATCAGCCGAGAGATCTAACTACACATGAGAGCACAATGTACCCTTACCCCAGCTCTCCCGTCGCTCTTCCGTCGCGTTGTAGCCTCGGTACTCACCGATGATATTCTTGTAGACGGGGTGAGCGTTCTCGCCGATCGTTTCCACTTTGTTGAAGATCGGGAACTCAGAGTTATAGTTGACCAGGATGAACTGTTTGATCTGCGCCGGATCACCCGGCTCCTGCTCGCCGAACTGGTTACACGGGAAGGCCAGCACGCTGAAGAGGTCGCCGAAGGAGAGGATGTCGTGCAGCCGAGTGAGGTCCCTCAGATGGCCGTCCGTGAAGCCGCAGAGGGATGCAGTGTTTACCACGAGCGTCACCTGACAGATGTAAGGTGTCACATCAGAGTCCGAGATATAACATCCGAGCATAGCGGCAGGTTCAGGTTGACTGAACATGCATTTTTAATGCACTTCACAATGCACTTGACTGACATTTACAATGCAATTCAAATATGCAGCAATGTTTATCTGTAATATTGTCATTGTGGAAGGGAGGAGTGACTCTCCTCACCTTCACAATGTCCCATATTGTCCAGTGTCCACTTTAGATTTGATTTGGGAATCTCATCCATTCCTACTTCATGCCTCTGGATAGGTGCTAGTATACTCATATTTTTGCATGTTTTTGAAATAATAACTGGATCACATTCAGATAAAAAAGTAACAGGCAAATTAAACACTTCAGTGGCTGCTGTACCACCATTGCCTAACTAGCATAAATTGATATCAATGTAGGGAAGCAATAACTGTACTTGAGCAAATGCAGATCATGCACGCTTTATCACAGTGGCGGATCCAGGGGGGGGGGCAAAATGGGCATTTGCCCCCCCCCCCAAACAGCATGATTTTAACATTACGCCTATGGACGATGCATGGAAAGAATCAATAAATTTTTATGGTTTGCCCCCCCCCAAAAAAAAACTCTGAGCTGGATCCGCCTCTGCTTTATCAAATTCTTACCATTCCCTTGAATTTTTCAAATTTAACTTCATTTCCATCAATATCTTCTGCAGAAAGTTTAAAATAGTCATCTTGCAGACTACATTCAGCTAGCTGGTTCAATAATACTGTCATGAAGAAAAATATTAAGGTCTTCATCCTTGTTCTGGAAAAGAAGAGAAATCATGGTTACAAAAATATCACAAATAATAGGTACATAATAGCATCAGTTGTTTATCATCACAAATATAGCAAGTTAAGGAAAAAGGCATAATCGGCTTGATCAGCTGAAATTGAAATTGAAATCTTCACGTGATCCAAAGCTGGCCATAGTGCTTGACACTTGGCAGGATATGATTGGTGTCAATATGTGCCACCAAATATTGAATTCAACTGAAATATTGGTCATTTAATACCATGCACTTGCCACGTCACCCTATTTCTTCGCGCCATGCTGAATGCTGATGCACTATCGTGTCAGTGTGGCGAATCGCGCTTGTTTTGTTTGCTGTCACTTGTGAATCGATTCAGTGTCCTTACCGATTTAATTACGAAGTGGAAGAAGCCCGGACTAGCCTCCTTCTCAAAGCTGGAGACGAAGGAGCCGGTTTGGCACCCAGTTCAAATGATGCAACGCCTCAGTTCTGCAGAGACACCGGCGTGAATGACCGATCCGCCGCCAGAGTTCACACGGGGTCATTCACACGATTCACACGGGATATTGTTTGTCTTAGCTGCGCTATTTCTGTCTAGAGATTTCTTGTTTACTTTTCAATCTGGCAGCAAAAAAAAATGAAGTAATTCCTGGAAAGACTGGAGAAACTCTTTATTTACCTTCAGAAAAAGTATTTTATTTTGGTTTATAAGGGTTATGAGGATCAAAACTCGTTAGTACTTAAAATATTTTTATTTGACTTTTCAGTCAATCGGGAAAATTTATCGCTGGCTCCTGTATCTAGACAATAAATTTTCTCCCTTACACCAAAATTTTATGCTGCCATATCCGTTGTCATGGTTACAGGCAGCATTGCGAAATTCAAGGCCATATTGGAAAATTGATATAAAGTGGTAAGGGTTGAATGAGGGCAAATTTTTGCTTTATTTGTTCTGTTGTTATTGAGCTGCATCTCATTTGATATGTGGTTTTGTGCTGCAGCGATATACCTGGATTTGCTATGAAGTAACTTCAAAGTATCTTGATCTGCAGAGAAATGTCAAAGAAGGATAAGGATGCAACTCTCTGCTGTGAAGTGACACATTCATTCATGCCAGTCCCACTACCTCCAGATGACCCCAGATTCAAGGTAAATGATACCATAAGTGGTTGGAATATTCAGCAATAGGTATTTGCAGCATGCGACGCACTTTGACCTGCCCATTTGTCAATCACTTTGCCTTCAACTCTTTCTTATATCTTGCACCTACCTATGCTATTCTTGCAAGTGTGCACACTTTCACTGTGAAAAATGCTGTAGATTGAGATGCATAGCTTCATATGTCAGATTATTCCATACCAACTAATCAGACTAAATCATTGGGAGTGAGTGTGACCATTTTCTAAACCCCAGCAACGTGTCGAGAACACCTTCCGCCTGGATCCGGAGGCCAGCGAGAGGTTCAGGTGCGGCCACGCCAAGGACCTTGTACAGGCGCGCCTGACGGAGGCCCTGCAGGGGGTGCAGTACGACGTGGAGCAGGCCCGGTCTCTGGCAGTGAGCATCGCCAACAACATCAGACTGGACCTGGAGCAGCTATACCTGCCCAGGTACATAAGTCTAGATAACTAAGCTCTAATATTTCATAGTTGGATGCCACTACAACCATGCTACTGTTGTCTTGGTGTGTACCTACTTTATAGTGCCTCAGTGGTTGGGTCTTGGGGAGAATGCTACTGATTATAGCAACGTAGAAGGTGGGTGTGGCCTACCGCCTATGGCCATTGGCAGTTAAAATCTGATTCATTGCTTGGCAAATGAAGAGCAGATTCCTCAATCTAGTGAACAATTCAAATAAGGTAGCATTGGCAAATACATTCATTTCTTAAGAAATCCTGTTTTTAGTTCATCATTTATGACCGGCTAAAGCACAACCTCTGTGCATTCCAGGTATAAGCTGGTGGCACACGTGCTGATCAGTGAGCGGCGCGACCAGGGCCTGGCGGTGGGATGCCGCTTCCTCTGGGATGACGCCAAGGACAACTTTGCTACGGCGACATTCGAGAACCAGACGTTGGTCGCTGTGGCCGCCGTGTTCGGCACCTACTGCGAGTGACGATACTGGGACTGTGTTGGTTGCATATGGATGCGAGTGATGACGCTCAGTAAACGCCAGTCAGTGATTCATTGTGACAATTAGTGAAGGCATCAGACGTCAGTGTGATGTCAGTGACGTGGGTCACTGGCCTGGAGGTGATGTGAGAAGGCGACATTGACCAGTGGCTACAACTGACTTACTTTTGAATTGTGATTTCAACTTGTTAGGTCGATGTATCAAGGATAGAGGGTGGATTGTTAAGGCCTTGTACGAATGCTGGCTCCACCGATAGGCTTTCAGAACATATTACATAACAGTGAGAAGGGTGTCAAAATGGGCGACACAGCTACGGAAGAAACTGTGAACGACACGCCCTGCATCGATGTTCGGACTAGCCGGAACCGTGATGGAGACGATAAATGTCTCGATCCGGTCGGGACAGTGGATGACAGTGAAACCCGAACCATGAGCGAGAAGAACGACAGTGAACCCGCTAACACTGAAGGGCAGGATGACGAATCTAGTGAATGTCGTGACAATGATGCGTCTCCGTTACGTAGAGACCATGGTTCTGGTGGAGACGGCTGTGACGGACCTGCAGTGGATTGCGAGCTCAGCGGTACGTCTCCTGACCAGAGGGACGGTGGCTCTGAGACTGCCGGCGCCGCGGAGAGGCCCCACAGCTCCGGGTGGCTGGTGGACGAGCCGGCCCAGCTGTCACGGCTGTACGGCGCCGCGGGTCTGCGGCCCGACCTCCGCCTGTGGCGGATCGCCACTCCGTTCCTGATGGACCAGCAGGCGGCCGCGATCGCCCGGGAGATGGAGACTGGTCAGACGGCGGTCCGGCGCCGGAGGAGGCCGCCGCCGCCTCAGACGGAGGATCCCGTCACCGCCGGCGCCGCCCGGCTGCTGACCGAGCTCCACTCCACCGCCGACAGTCCCACACCGAGCGAGTACCGGGAGAACAACAGTGCGGCGCGTCGGGCGGCGAGGGAGGTACTGGAGGGGTCCGAGGAGCCGCTGACTGCTCCCCGGCAGGGCGGTAACCCGACGGACGAGCCGTGTTTTATGGAGAGCGGCGGACACCGGTACGTACTGCCGGCTCGCAGCGCCTTCCTCTGTGGTGACGTCACGGCGGCGTTTGATGACGTCACTGTGGTCAGTCAGCTGCTCGGCGACGGGCCGAGGTTTGACTGTGTGCTGCTGGACCCGCCCTGGAGCAACCGATTTGTGAGGAGAAAGCGGAAACGGCACGGGTAAGTGGACTGTTCTGTTTACGGTCTCTCTACCATTTGGTACGGTTCGATTGCGAGAACCTGCAATAGGGTCGTAAGATATATGTACGTTCGCCGCTCGGCACCCGTGCATGGGATCGCAATGCGGACAATTTGTCTTCCGACATTCGGAAGAAACGGTGATGTTTTTGAACGTGTGTGCCTATGACTGCCAAAGTCCGCACCTTATCTCATACTCGTATACGCCGCACACCCAAAATACGCGGCTGTGGCAAGTTTATATCCGCGGTTAACAGTTTTAAATTCATGCTGCTAAAAAAAAATGCGTCATAAGGTCACCTCACGTCGTTTCTAAGCTGCTACGGACTCATTCCACGCTTCACACCACTCACCAGCTCCAGCGGCGTGTCCGTCCGGCCCGGTGTCTCCCCGTCTGACCTCTGTTCCGCCCGTCCGTCTCGGCCAGTTACCGGTCACTGGAGGCCGCAGAGCTGGCCAGTCTCCCGCTGCCTCGGCTGGCCGCCCCCGGCGCTCTGGTGGCCGTCTGGTGTACTAACAGTACCGCACACGGCCGCACGCTGCGCCACACGCTGCTGCCCGCCTGGGGCGTCCGCGAGATCGCCCTCTGGCACTGGGTCAAGGTCAGTAATTCGACGCAGTAGCATCAGTATCGACCGACACGTCTTGTCGAGGCGGCCAGCTGGGGTACTGGCGTGATGACGGCTGGGTACCCTGCAACATCTGTCTCAATATGTCATTGAAAGATGAGGCGGGGAAAACTTTTTTGGTGTCCCAGTTGTCCTGTAAGAATGCTCGCATAATTGTCAATTGGAGGTCATTGAACGCTTCATCGTCTTATTATATTTGGGATGTTGAAGTGACGAGGATGGTCCTGAGCGCAATGCTTCTAATTACCCTTCATCCAAAGGTGACCCCTACACTAACCCTCCCCCGTGACTCCCTCCCCTCCGCACCCACAGGTGACCCGTTACGGTCGTCCGATCACCAGCGGCTCGCACCACTCCAAGCAGCCGTACGAGCAGCTGGTCCTGGGCCGACTGGGCGCGGCGCCGACCGGTCTGCCGCCGCTGCCAGCCGAGAGACTTATTGTCAGCGTACCCTGTGCCGTCCACTCGCGGAAACCGCTGCTGCATGGTGAGGGGGGAGGCTGGCGCCTGGCGGCGTGCTAGGTGTAGCAGAATGCTCTGGGTGATGGATCCAATATACATTAACATCTTACAACTGTGGAGAACTGCTGTGGTTAGTGTGATGTCTGCAGTCCTGAATTGGTAATATGTCACTGAATGCTGAATAGGTTAGGTAACGGTCTGCTAACCAATGACCCCATGACTGTCGTGATTGCTGTCAACATCCGGGTCCCTACCATCAATATTAATCCCCAGCGCTGTTTGTGAACGCTATTATATCGCCGCCTTGACTCGCCCCGCGGTGTCATCCCGCTCATCTAACCCTCACCTGTCTGCGCCGTGCGTCCGCAGACCTGCTTCGTCCGTACCTGCCGTCCGGGTACCGCGGTCTGGAGGTGTTCGCCCGCGGTCTGGCGCCCGGCTGGACGGCCTGGGGCGACCAGCCGCTGCTGCTTCAGAGGGTGGGAGGTCTGCTGATCACCCGGCGGCAGGCTGAGGAGGTACAGCAAGCTGAGGAGGCACAGCAGAAGGCCGAGGGGCGACGGCGGGACGAGGAGCTAGAGCAGGCTGAGAAGTCACGAAAGGCTGAGCAGCAACAGAGCGACGATGAGTTACAACAGCGGACCGAAATACATCAGGATGGAAGGCGGTACGACTAGCAGCAGCAGGATGGGCAACATGGCGAACAGCAGGGCAAGCCGCAACAGGACTATGGACTCCAAGGTGTTGAGCGCCAGTCTAATAAGAAGCAGGAGCCTGATGGACAATGTAATGCGAAAGAACAGCTGGAGAAACAGCTGGAGGTCCGATAGAAGTCAGCCTTTGGACGGTTAGGCATGTGTGACCAAACGATGAGTCGTTTGAAAATCTAATGGTTTATCGGTGTGACCGCCGGTTAAATGGTTTACCGTCCGGTCACGGACTGATTGTGATGCCGCGAGTGACGTCTGATACTGCCTGTCGTGCGTTCCAGTCCGCCCATTCCAGTGTGATGTGATGAGCCTGTTGCTAAAAGTTAGTGGTTCGTGATCTGTGTTAGCTGCTTGTAGTACAATATTGCCAGCTCTCAGTGCAATACCACTGCCAACAGTGTACCAGAATCAGCGCGTGTGTCGAGCAATTATTACCGGGGTAGGCTGCGCACCAGTCTGTAATGCGTGGTTCGCGCCGATCCATTGTTCAATGTTCATGGAAAAGGTGTTCTCTGTTAGCCTCTATTATGTCTGTAGACTATCGCCGTTGTCGAATGAATTAAATGTCGCACTGTCCGCCTCGCCGAACCCTTCCCCGAATCTCCGCTAATGTTTTATGTTATATTCCGTCTGTCCACATGTGCTCAATCGATCACACAGTACATAAAGATCTCGTCGGACCGCGCTCATTGCAATCCGCTCGCTGTACACAGAAAACATACCGGTGTCGCCGAGCCGCTCTAGTCTCTACAGCCGCTGCGGGCCGCGCCGCGCGGCGGGGTGCTCTAGCCGGCACTGTCGGCGGCCCGGTCTCGGCCGAGGTCACGCGCCGACAGGTCACCGGTACAGGTAGTCGGCCTCGATGTTGGCCGCGATCTCAGACTCCCATCGGTCGCCATTGCTCAGCAGTTTCTCCTTGTTGTAGAGCAGCTCCTCGTGGGTTTCCGTCGAGAACTCGAAGTTGGGGCCCTGTGGACGGTACGATCGATTAGGAAGAACTTACATTGGGTTGGCTAACTGATACGGAGCATCGAGCCTAACAAAACGGGGAAAGCGACAAGTGTAACATACATGGTGTAACTCTCCACACTTACATGTTTATCAACCCACCAGAGAGAAGAGGCAAGTAATTTTAGGTAGTCGGTACTTCTATTTACATTCTCGCACCGCTCCATTGTAATCCGATATCCGCAAACACAGCCAACCCAACCTAATGCCTCTCAAACACACCTCCTCGGTCCCGATGGCCCCTCTGCGCCACTGCAGCGGACGCGGCGCCGCGGACTAAATATAACTTACACTGCATATAAGGGCGGGATACTAAGGGCGGGTTCGCAGTCCCCTCAGACGAACAACATTCTACGCAGTCCGGCAGACTCCGAACCCGGGGTAAAGCACAGCGGACCCACCTCAGCATATTGTTGTCTGACAAACCCGATGTACTGCGCTCCTGGTTTGTACATACATAACCATGAGCATGTGTGCCGTCAAACGAGGCAATCTCGCCATATCACACTGCCCAAGTCTAGCAACAATCACGGGAAACGCCGATTTGTGTACCGGGCTGCCGACCTGTACAACCGAATGGTGATCGCCAGGGACAGAGATCACATGTCACTGCGCAGCATTAAGGCATCTATCCGTGATGACCTAACCAGCCATTGAACACAACGGTCGTGTATTTTGTGTCATATTAGGTCCACTGTATTGATCGGTCTTATTAGGTGTCTTTTATGAAGTGTTCATTGTGTGCTCATATTGCATTGTATATGACGAAGGTCGCAAAATAGCCCTGCACCAGTGGAGCGACCTTATTCGGTAAATACATACATACATACATACATACCTCGACGATGGCGTCCACGGGGCAGGCCTCCTGGCAGAAGCCGCAGTAGATGCACTTGGTCATGTCGATGTCGTAGCGCGTGGTGCGCCGGCTGCCGTCCGCGCGCTCCTCGGCCTCGATCGTGATGGCCTGGGGTCGCCGGAGGGGAGGGGAGGGGTCATGGTTCATATCGGGACACATTGATAGAAGTAGTCGTCCAGTGACAGTTATCATGTAATGTGAAAAATGCGTAGTGAAATCAATCTCCTCAATTGCTCGCACTATGTAATTTATTCTACAAAAAGTAAAACCTACTCAGACTCTACGACATGTTGCTGGGATTGCTAAGTTTGTCAAGCAATCAAGAACATAGGAAAAGCTTGTGTAAAGACTACAAAGAATATCGTTATCGTGTTTATTCCCGAAGTAATGGCAAGACCAACGGCAACGTGCTGATAAAATCCATGGAATTCGAACATGTTCCAGAGTCTGAATAACCCGGTCATTCAACATGAACATTTCTCATAACAGCTGCAGCTCAGCCCACCTGGTATTAGTTCCCCACTATTCCTCGACCCTCCAGTCCCTCACCTGTGCCGGGCAGACGGCCTCGCACAGTTTGCAGGCGATGCAACGCTCCTCGCCGCTTGGATAGCGCCGCAACGCGTGCTCGCCGCGGAACCGGGGGCTCAGCGGTCCCTTCTCAAACGGGTAGTTTATGGTGGCCGGCTCCTTGAAGATCATACCAAGCGTGACCGCCATACCTAACAGACACGTGAATAAGGTGAGTGAATTTTTGGACAAAATGTGGGGAAAGGGGGTGCAACAGTGATTCTCAAATATGCAGAATATGCTTCAGACCACAACTGAGGGCTCAAACAGCAGCTGGTTCATAAAACAATTATTGAGCCATCTATTCTGCATTGAGAATTTTGAACAGGCAAGCAAAACTAATAGGCACACAAGCAAGGGCTATTTTGTTAAAAATGTTTTGCTGACAGTTGTTCTGAGGTTAATAGTCCCATCTCACCTCTGGCCAGCTCTGTGAAGAAGATGGTCTGCGAGACCCGGTCAGTGACATCCTTGAAGTCCATGCTTTGCTCTCCCTTATTAACACGGACAAAACTGGAAGCTGGCCGTGACAGCTGCTGCAGGCACCGACCACCTGCCAGTAATAAAATCGTGTAAATCACTACCTACAAAATATTCAGTGCATGCCCAATCTGACCACTGTATCAATATTTCATAAACAGTGGTAAATGGGGCATTGACATTTGACAAGCAGCTCAGGCAAGCTGCTCAGCTGAGGCTCAGGGCTGATGATGCTCGGAACTCCTCAGCCAACATCCAAGCTACCCCTAATGTGAAAACGTTCTAACAACTTTGGAATGTTTGCAATGTTGATGCAAGTGAAAAATATGCTAAATTTGATTCAGATTAATAGATACCTACTTAACAATTTCAATGCTTTACAGGATTAAAAATGACTTGCTTAACCTTTAAAAAGGGCAAAATTGTCACCTAAAACGCAGTTCACACTTGACCGTCAGTCTGTCGGTGTCGGGCCCGTCACCGTCGACCTGACGGCCTGCAGCCCGTCGAACGAAAGTTGAGATTTGGTAGCTCCCATTGGCTGCCATATATTGTGACAGAAATGGCGCACCATTTTCGAGATTGACGCAGATGGGGGAAGGGGATGGGGAGGCCGAGAGGTTAAATATTATTTGAATTACAGAAATAAAATACCACTCATTTACATTTTTATGTCAAATATTGCTGAAATTTTATTTAAATGAAAGACACATAGGTTCGCTGATTTAAATCAGGGATCGAATCTCAAGATATCGTGCCGTAATAAACATTTTCATCTAAAAAATGGATGGAAATTGGTATTAATACTCTTAAAAATGCATATAAGCTTAATGCTGCATGAGAACGTTCCTTTTCCTCTTCCTCCAACACGCAGATATTCAAACCGACGGGCCCGTCACCGTCAAAAGTTGAACATTGCTGAACTTTCCAAAGCGACGGCCGTCAGGTCCGGCGCCGGCGCAGTCAGCTGTTGCCGACCGTCAAACGCTGCCGGTTCACACATGCCCGTCGACCTGACGGCCGTCGCTCCGTCAGATTCGGCCGTTTTGACGGTGTCGGGCCCGTCACCGGCAGACCTTACGGGCAAGTGTGAACTGCGTTTTACCTGCCCGCGAAACGGTGTACAAACGTGCCAACGACATGGCAGTAGTGACTGAGTATTACTTTAGAGCAATTAGTTCTGAAAGAGTATTTTCCGAATAAAAATAACTAAAATCAACCTATCAGTCGCTCTTGGCTTAGAAGTACCAGTAGCAACCAGTAGTGTGTTTTCTCTCGTGGTGTAAAAATACGGTTTATATAGCCTTGAAAAATACACACAGGCAGCAGCTGATTGCGAAAATGTAGTGAAAATGGCGAGGAAGCGCCGAAATAAGCCTTCCTAAAAGCAGCCGACAAGCAAATCAAAATTTCAACATTATTTCATCACGGTCATTGTTATTTCAGATTATTATTATTGGCACGTAAACATACGACATAATTGGATCAGAACAATTGGTGTTTTTATCATTGTGTGATACTTTTTGAACTCTTGGTTGGATAGATTTGTGATTGCGTCCATCCTCGATCCTCGACATCCCTTGATTATGGTCATGGCTCATCAATAATAATAATCATCATCATCATAGCTCTGATAGCTCTGGATAGCTCCCATAGCTCATAGTCCTTGGTTCACGGTGTACACCTATAGTGGCTCATGGCACAATATATAAGAAGCTGCCTGTAGAATGTAATGTGTGTTGTTATGCTTTCGGCTGTCGTGGCGTGTGGACGTGTCCAGTCGAGCTCCAGCTTCCATTGCAATTACAAACTATTTGCACACTTATCACTCATCACTGATACATTTTGGGCACTTCTGGTCAAAGAACACTCAAATGCCTACGCAAATCCAGTAAGATGCCACTTTCAAGGTCACCACCACCCACCGGGAGGACGCGCCGGACAGTTTCAAAATCCGATTCTACACGCATTTCGACGAATGTGGAAAATCTTCCAGCGTCACTTTCGCCTCAAACTCGTGAGGATGGCGTTGTGGGCGTCCCCGTGGACAATGGGAAGAATGTGAACGCGTTGGCAAAGACCAAGAAAACCAGTGTAAGTACTGATGAAAGTGATCGTGAAAAGGAGAAGTTAAATCCGGAAAGAGAAGGTAAGAAGCAGCGCTCAGGCAAAACGGCCACCGTAACCTCAGATGAGAGAGAGGAAAATGCAGGGGAAACAGCTAAGGGAAGGAACAGTAGACCAGAACGCAAAGACATTCAGCATAATAGACAGGAAGTGGGAGGGAAAGAAACTGCTCGCACTAGGGGGGCAACCCTTGTAGAGGATGGTATTGGTAACTGCGATGTCAGTGCTACCAAGGCGTCAGGCGAAGACCCCTCTGAGCGGGAGAAAACTATTCCTGCCACTAAAATCAGTGAGAGGGAGGGCTCGGGAAAACCCACACTCACTGGGTCAGCCATCATCCCTATGCAGGAAAGCCTGGATACAACCCAAATTCTTGATGAAATGGAGAAAAATGATCCCCCAGAGGTGCGTAGACTTGACAGCGAAGTTTATAAACCATGGGGATCCAGATCCACAAACACAAGCCCAGAACCGGGAGCACCAAAACCAGCAGGAGGGACAAAGAACGACAGGTCAACTTGCAAAGGCGGTCCAGGGAAACCAAAGTGTGGCACTCTAGTTAAGGAAGGAGAGGATGCAATTGAGTGTGAGAGATGCATGAACTGGTTTCATTCCAAATGTCAATCAGTGTCAAAAGCAGCTATGGGAGCGCTTAACAAATGGCACGGCACTCTAGTCTGGCTCTGCGACCAGTGTACCAAATCACTGAAAGCTATACCTGAACCCCCGAAACCCTGTCACTGCTCGGAACTTGCTCAGTCAATAAACGAATTGAAAGCTGTGGCTCGTCACAATGCCAAGGTCCTCAATGACTCAATCCAGAACCAGGAAAAGCTGTTCACTGGACAGTGCAAGCTCATAGACAAATTGTCAAGCACTACCATTGATGAGGGACAGAGGCTGAGCTATGCAGAAGCAGTAAAGGGAGTTGGGGATGAGGTAGTGGAGAAAGTGGCAAAAAGGATTGAAAAGCTGCCAGCGGTGATGTTGCCAGTGAAGCGCTCCCATGAAGAAGTCGCAGGTCTCATCGATGAGATCCAGGATAAGGAAAGACGGAAGCTCAACCTTGTTATTCATAATCTGCCAGAATCAGAGGGCCAGTCATATGCAGTCAGGGCAGAAGAGGATGGAATGAAGTTTAGAACCATGGTCAAGGAGGGTCTTAAGCTCATGGTCAAAACTACAAAGAACTTCCGAGTTGGCAAGAAAGTGGAGAACAAGCCGAGGCTTCTAGTTGTCACTCTCATCAATATGGAGGACAAAATGGAGATCCTCAGGTCAGCAGCATCCCTGCGGGACACCACTTGGAACAGGGTGTACATCACCCCTGACCTTACCTGGCAGGAGAGAGAGAAGGGCAGGCAGTTGAGGAGTGAGCTAGCTCGACGGAAGGAAGCAGGCGAAGTGAACATTGGAATAAGACATGGCAAGATAGTCCCTATCGCTGCCGCTGTCCCTAAGAGGCCTCAAACCCAAAGAACACAGCACGCTCAAACTCAGCACCAGCAACAGGACATCACTATCACAGCAAGCCAGGAGATCAATGCTTTGACAAATGGCAGTGCTGGCACGCCAGTCACCCCAAACGGACAAGCTGGGCCCAATAGGTCAAACGAATGGGAGAATGATGGCCTTGGGGCGCCCAGACAATCAGAACAGGGTGGGGCTGCTGCGGCCCCAGACCCAACCCCTCAGCAGTGACTAGATGGGGCTAGAGAAGTTGGAGAACCTGAGAGGGAACCGGCTTCAGCCAACAAGAGGAAGCAGCTAAAAGTGATCTACACCAACATAGACCAGTTTGTTAACAAAAGAGACGATCTTTGTATGATGGTTGCGACTGTGGAACCAGATGTGATTCTCCTGGCTGAGGTGATCCCCAAAGCTCAGCTCAAGCCTATTGGGCAAGCACTGCTAGCCATCCCATACTACACAATGTACCTAAACTTCGACCCAGAGGTCTGCAACCTCGGCAGAGAAGGGCGACGGGGCATTGCCATCTTTGTCAAACCAGAACTGAGAGCAACAGAGGTGTCCTTCCCCAATTGCCCACTGGTCGAACACCTATGGATAAAAATACCTCTCCGAAGCCCTGACCAGTTGCTTTTGGGATGCATATACCGAAGTCCCTCAGTCAATGGTTATTTATCCTCTAACAGCCTAATCGACACTTTGAAAATCAGCACGTCATCAAATTTTTCGCATGTTCTGGTCGCAGGCGACATCAACATGCCTCAGATTGACTGGGATACAAACTTCTCACATGCTCCGGACCATCATTTCACCCACGAGTTTATTGAGGGTATACAAGAATGTGGGCTGTTCCAGCATGTCACGAAACCCACCAGATATCGAACAGGCGAGAACCCCAGCACATTGGATGTCATCCTTTCTAATGAAGAGGGGCTGATAAAAAATCTAACTTTTCTCCCTCCAGTGGGAAACAGCGACCACGTTGTGCTGAAATTTGATGTCACCTGCTATGTACAGAGGGTGGAACCATCGTCAGTTCGCCTAAACTACAACAAGGGCAACTACCAACAACTGAATGAATTGATCCGTAGTACAGTTTGGGAGACTGTAGACCCTGCGGACCCTCAGCGACGATTCGAGGTCTTCAATACCACGCTAAATCGTCTCATGTTGAGATGCATCCCAAGGGCATGCCCAACGAGGAAACGTCATAACCTCTACTTGAACAGAGAAGCACTTCGTCTAAAGAACAGAAAAAGGAAGTTATGGAACATATACATACACTCACGAGACGATATCAGCTTCTCCCGGTACAGTCGCTGCAAAAACGACCTGAGACGTCTTACTCGCAACCTCCGCCGGAACTACGAGCAAAAACTCGTCACCAACCTCAGAAACAACCCAAAGGCGTTTTGGTATTATGCTGGGTCAAGGCTAAAGTCGCGCACTGGTGTTGAAGACTTACGCGCAGAGGGTGGCAACCTGACCTCCAATGACCAGGAGAAGGCTGGAGTATTGAACCGCTTTTTCTGCTCAGTCTGCATGCACGAAGGCTCTGAAGACGTGCCAGCCCTCGCGAGCCTTTATGAAGGGCCCACAGTCGACGACGTAGACATCCATGTAGCTCTCGTCAGGAACAAGCTGGCCCAGCTGAAACCCTCCTCTGCGGCGGGCCCAGACGAGATCCACCCCCGGGTTCTCCACGAGACAGCCGACACCATCTCTCCACACCTCGCCACCATCTTCAGGGAATCTCTGGATACGGGGGCTCTCCCGCTTGACTGGAAGCTTGCAAATGTAGTACCAATATACAAGAAGGGCCAGAAGGACGACCCAGGAAACTACAGGCCAGTGAGCTTAACTTCCGTGCCTTGTAAGGTCCTAGAATCCATAATCAGGGACCAACTAATGGCACATCTGCAGTCCGAGAACCTTCTCAGCGACGCCCAACACGGCTTCAGGCCTGGAAGATCGTGCACCACACAACTGCTCCAAACAATCGAAGAGTGGAGTGGTTGGATCGAGAAAGGCGAACCGGTGGACGTCCTCTACTTAGATCTAGCCAAGGCGTTTAACACAGTCCCGCACAGGAGACTCATCGAGAAGGTCAAGGCCCATGGGATAGGAGGAAAGCTGCTTCGCTGGATTGAAGCCTTTCTCTCAGAACGCCAGCAGCGGGTCACGGTTGAGGGCTGTCGATCGGGTTGGGCACCGGTACCTAGCGGAGTCCCACAAGGCTCAGTGTTGGCCCCCCTTCTGTTCATACTGTTTATCAACGACCTCCCAAGAGTGCTTCACTGCGGAGTCAAGATATTCGCGGATGACGGCAAGCTGTACCGTTCGGTCCTCACCCCATCCGGCCCTCTAGCCCTTCAGAGAGACCTGGACGCCGCATCGGACTGGGCGGATGTATGGAAGCTCGAGTTTAATGCAGAAAAGTGCAGAGTCCTCCACATTGGTCGCCAGAACTCCCAGCAAGTCTACCAGCTGAAGGGCGCTCGAATGGAACAGGTGGCGGCAGAGAAGGATCTGGGAGTCTACATAGATACGGAGTTGAAGTTCCGACAACAAGCTGCCGCGGCTGTCAGCAAAGCCTCGCGGATACTTTCCATGATTCAGAGGTCTTTCCAGCTGATTGACAAGTCAACGTTGCCCCTACTGTTCAAGACCCTAGTCCGACCCCACCTTGAATACGGGAACATTGTCTGGGGCCCTTTCAACCGGACAGACCAGAAACGAGTGGAGCGCGTCCAGCGGAGGGCAACCAAGAAGGTCTCGGAGCTGCGCCACCTGCCCTACACTGAGAGACTGCAGGCGTTGAAACTACCATCCCTGTACTACCGTCGAAGGCGCGGTGACATGATAGCGGTATATCAGATGCTACATGGAGGTATTGACCTGGACTCGCGTGTCTTCTTCGACCGCTCAACCGCCCGTGAAACCAGAGGTCACTCGTGGCGCCTCGTGAAGCCGCGCGCGGTCTCCAGAGTCCGCCGAAACGCCTTCTCAGTAAGGGTTATAAACGATTGGAATAGTCTGCCGCCAGAAGTTGTCGACGCCGGTACGCTCAACCAGTTCAAGACCCGCCTAGACACCCACTGGGCAGACTTCGTACACGCGATACCTTACACAGACCAGTAAAACCCACACTAAGCAGCTCGACTGGAACGGACATAAAGGCCAAGTGGCCTATCAAAATTCTGTACTTCTAAGTAAGTAAGTAAGTAAGTAAGTGAAGCTGCTTTTACCTAATACTATAGTTTTTTGGGTTAGAAGTCTTGATTATAAAACAAACTCCTCATGCTACTGAAACCCTGCTGGGATAGTTTTTTTTTTTGCTTTTTTTATTTAACTTTGGTCCAACACATATTAATAGATATATGATTTATTACTATGATACTAGATAGCTATTTGCTTTGCTGTGTTAATCTACCTCTTACCAAGATTCTTATAGATCCTCTTACCATAATTATCAGCACAAAATGAAATATTTGTCCTATCCAAGTTGATTCAGATCAAGATTGGGTTGAGTCAGAGCAAGAGTGGACGAGTGGGATGCAGCCTGACATAACTGATACCATATTATGCAACTGATTGAACAAGCCTGCTGTTTACATATTTCTTACACTTTCAGACCATCAAGATCAAGATGCTGGTTTCCAAGAGCATTGGGAGAGGTTGGCAGCTCGCTGAGCTTCTTGTAAAAAAGCAGCTGAGGTCTGCCATATCTGTGGCCTGCAAGTCGACCACAGCAGCCATCATTGAGAGGGAGATGAAGTATGGAGCACACAACTATCACCCATTGCCTGTGGCCATAGAGAAGGGAAAAGGTAAACCAAAATGTGTATGTCGTTGCTGATCTGTATCATAGATCCCCTAGATCTCTGAACTGAGCACCTCTGTATATGATAGGTTAATGAGCACAGGGTCTTTGGCCACTGCATCTTTCAAATCAATGCCTAGCTCTCTATATGCAGTTTTAATAATTTCAAAAAATGTTGCATTGGTAAATGGGTCTGCTGAGGAAAGGTCACACTCAAGCCAATTGACTAGCTGCTCCTGCACTGCTATAGGGAACACTGAGCTATCAGTTAGTGACTGGTGAAGGACAGCCAAAGTCATTTAGTGGGGTGGTTCGTGTCTGGCTTCGATTGGCACGCTTAACTTTATCGAAATTTTACCGATCAGGTGCCCGTAATCGCCCAATCGGACGGAATGTTTAGTGAATAAACGGTAGGGATCGGGGGCCAGCGTAGCAAGTTTTACTGACATTTAGCTCATGTCTTTGAGCACCTCTCCCCTCCCGTCCCCTCCCCCAGGCGTGTTCCTCTGGGACGTGGAGGGCCGCCGCTACTACGACTTCCTCTCGGCCTACTCCGCCGTGAACCAGGGCCACTGCCACCCGCGGATCATTGGCGCGCTCGTGGATCAGGCTCGGCACCTGACGCTGACCTCGCGGGCCTTCCACAACACGGCGCTGGGCGAGTTTGAACAGTTCGCCTGCGAGCTGTTTGGATACGACAAACTGCTGCCCATGAACACTGGTGAGTGTTGTGCATGCGGCTGACGTGAGGAAGGGGCGGCATGGTCGTGGATCGAAGTAGTAGAATGAATGGTGGGGCTTTTTGTGGAACGGCTCTGAGCTATGTTCTGTAATCGGTTGTTCCTAAGTTATGCATTATAGCTTAGCTTCATTGCATTATGTTATTACCTAGGTAGGTATGTAATATTCGTCGGAATATCTCCATCCTTCAAACTGCTTTGTCGCATGGTCGTATTTATTTGCGATGCATAATCATTCTGCCGGGGAAGCTTATAGTTTTGTTATATTACTTTTCACGAACGCAACTTATCGTTATGCAGATCACAAGCCACGCAGAGTGCACTGTTCCATAGTTCTTGCATCGTTTTGTTTTCGGTAGCTGTCAGCCTCATCCCTTCACGTTCGCTTCTGTTCTGATCGTTCCGCTGCGCGCCGCTCTCAACTCAGGCGTGGAAGGCGGCGAGACTGCCAACAAGCTAGCCAGAAAGTGGGGCTACATGCGGAAAGGCATCCCCGACAACCAGGCTAAGATTGTGTTCTGCGAGAACAACTTCTGGGGCCGCACGCTGAGCGCTGTCTCGTCGTCCACCGATCCGACGGCGTTCACCGGCTTCGGGCCGTTCATGCCCGGATACGAGATCATACCGTATAACAACCTGGAGGCTCTCGAGGTTTGTAGACACGTAGAATGAGTGACCGCGGGAGCGGCCAAAAAGGGTGGTGACACTGGTGACCTTGATGGGTACACGGCTAGTGCTCGATCAGCATCTCAAAGTCCTCCTATCTGGTTAAGAACGACATGGCAGTCTGGAATTGTGCAGTGATTGTGTGGAAAATGTCATTACGATGTGACAATATGTAATATGGACGATATGTAATATGGACAAATATGCTAAGCTCTGGATATTAAGACCGCTTTTCATATGTTTTACTAACTAGAGTTTATCACAGAGCTATCCTTTTGGGCATTATGAGTTAAGTTCTCTGCTTGCCGGAGTTTATCGATTTTTAAATCAGCAACAGCCTGGATTTTCCCTCTCTCACTCAACCCCACCCCTCTCCGTTGCCGCCAGACCAAGTGCCGTGACCCGCACGTGGCCGCCTTCATGGTGGAGCCGATCCAGGGCGAGGCCGGGGTGATGGTGCCTGACGCGGGCTACCTGCGCGGCGTGCGGGACATCTGCAGCCGGCACAATGTGCTGTTCATCGCTGACGAGGTGCAGACCGGCCTGGCTCGCACCGGCCGCCGGCTGGCCTGCGACCATGAGGATGTGAAGCCCGATATTCTGATCCTGGGGAAGGCGTTGTCCGGAGGGGTGCTGCCGGTGAGTGGAGGGGAGGCCGATAGGATGATACGGGGTATAGGGTAAGGACTGTAGGAAGGTGTATGTTAGTTGATATGGAGTACGTACATAGCGTCTGGGCTAGACGAAGGGGTTCTTTTCGGAATATGCTTGCGACGTTTGGCAAGCAAATTGTAATAACTGCGTCTGCTTGCAACAGCAGCTCGATGCTCTATTGAATATGATAGCCATGTGAGCTGTTTGTAGCAACCAGCGATAAAGCAGCTCACTAAGCTATCACGGCCACACATAAAAACCTTTTCCACATAATCATGGTAAATTGTAAAACACTTCCAACGGCTCACCGGCAGTCTCCCGCCCTCACACCCAATCAGAGATGTCTGCGATTTGTCGACGGTACTCCTCACTCACAGACGTACCCCCTCCCTCCATCAGGTGTCTGCGTGTCTGGCGGACGACGACGTCATGCTGTGCCTCCGTCCCGGCGAGCACGGCTCCACGTTCGGCGGTAACCCTCTGGCGTGCCGGGTGGCCATGGCCGCTCTGCAGGTGATGGAAGACGAGCGGCTGGCCGAGCGTGCCGACCGGCTCGGCCGCCTCCTGCGCGCCGAGCTGGCCAAACTGCCTGAGGATAGGGTGTCGGCAGTGAGGGGGAAGGGACTGCTCAACGCTGTGGTCGTATCGGATAGTGAGTACTGGCGGGGACGAGGTGGCCGGCGGGGGGAGGGTAAGGGCCTAGGGGGCTGTGTGTTGAGAGCATGGTCAAATGAGAGGCTGTGATGAGGTAATACTTGTGGGAGGCTATCATTTATGCTCGAAAAAAGGAAGAAAAATGGGCGAATGGGTGGAAAACAAACACTGCCATGCTAAATGGCGCTCTTGCTGAGGAAACATCAAATTTTTAACCACTGGAGTATTCCGTTTGGGGCATATGAGACCTGACCCTAGCCCAGGTCAGCCAAGAGAGCTCTGAGATCCGGCCCATCTGTGTTACTGTAACTCTCCGCTCCTCCGCTCACCATGTCCGCCCCCCCCCCCCCGTCCCGGCAGAGCTGGACGCCTGGGAGGTGTGTGTGCGTCTCTCCGAGAACGGTCTGTTGGCCAAGCCGACCCACGGCGACATTGTCCGGCTGGCACCGCCCCTAGTCATCACCGAGGAACAGCTGATGGAGTGTGTCGACATCATCAGGGACACCATCCTGTCAATGTGAACGGACTGAGTTAGAAGGAGGTTAGCGACAGGTGACTTTATGGGACAGGTCGACCGTCAGGTCAATTTGAGGTCAGCCGTCACGTCAAGCCAGCCGTGAGGTCTGGACAGGTCAGCTGCAAGGTCATATCAGGTCAGCGGTGACCTCACGAAGATAGGCCATTGTGAGGTCATTGTTGGGTCAGCCATCAGGTCAAGACAGCTGTGAGGTCAAGCCAGTCGCGAGGTCACGTCAGGTCAGCGCCGTGTCATCTTCAGGTCACCGTCGAGTCTCCTCCTGACTTCATCTCCAGGACTGCCAGGTCAGCAATAATCTGTAGAATTGACTGCTTAGCTGTCAGAGGCGCCTCTTCGCTCTAATCTGTGCCTTTTACGGTTGTGCATATGACGATGCCTCGCACAGTTTCCAGGTTGTGCTTGCTCTTGCTTCTGCTTGCTCCTTTCTCTGTAGGCAGATGTAGTTAAGTTGCGTGATCTATCCAAGGGTGTTTCTATATGGGTGTAGTTATTTGTTGGGAGTCTCGTGTTTGGGAATACATCTTAGCCCTTACTCTGACTGAGCAGCTTGCAAATTTAGTTGATACCTAATTATGTAGCCAAATTTATCGAAACTTCAGGTTGTTTTGTGCCCCTGGTAAATCTCTTAATCAAAGAGAGTAATATTACTATTTTGGACAATATTCTACAGCTAAGCCAACTAAACTTCATCTTGAATTTTGTTTCTTCCGTGTACACACAGTGTTCCATTGATGAACACAGTTCCAAAATGAACACAATGTTCAACTGTATTGATCTTAGCTTTAAATATTGTTGCCAGTATCAGCTGAACAAAACACGGAGTATTTGTAACTATGATCAATCTTGATTGTCACTAACGCAATATGTCAGTTCATTACTTTTATGCTTAATAGGTGCTTGATTACTACATCACGCTGGGAGCTCACATCATAGCAATATTTTTAGGCGAAAGTTTCCCCCGGCTGGACCTTGCTTTTTGTTTTAATTATATTTACTTGTTTGCAAGTATATCGTTTAAATGAGCGACCGAAGAACAAATTTCCGTCCACTACATTTTAAATACTGAATGGCAACTGAAACAGTGTTGTGATCTTCGGCTGTAATATCAGTTTCATACCTTGAATATCGTGCTCATGACGTTGATATATTATAAGAAGGGGAGATATCGACATAAAAATACTTTGTACGGGTCATATCAATGTTCTGCCCATGTTTATATACTTGCACTGTGAGTGATAACTTTCATATTATAACGTCGAATTGTCCAATGGTGCGGTAAATATGTTGGCCGTGTCTTCCACCGTCTATGTATACCAATGGTACCTATGTGAGACAATACAAACCGCCATTCCTACCCAGTGATTGTCAGTTGTGAGGCTTACGGTCATGGCTCAGTATGAATTGATGACACAATTTACATAGCGGAACAAATTTAAAGGCTTTCATTTTTGTCCTGTCGAACTTTGGCAAATTGGACCGTCTCTAGTCTCTACCTCAACACATCAACATTAGCCATGTTTACTATTGTTCTCAACTTTGTTATCAATTCAGGTCTATCATAGGCCCTATGAAATCTGGGTTACGGTTTCATCCAAATGCCGCTATGGCCGTTGGCTCTCCCGGGAAGTTATCAGTTGAATGTATATTGTATAACTCGCACCTTTCGCCTTTCGGTACAATGTGAAAAGCCGATTATACGCGGCTGACGGGTTGATGCTGTAGTACCGCCGGCTATCGACATGTGGCTCCCATTTAATGCTCCCGAGCTCCGATGGGCCGATGGCCATTTTGACGGTCCTGGATGTCTCGTTCGCTAGTATCTGGATCGTAGCGTGACAAGGCTTGGGGCGACAGTCACCGTGGCCCGCTTCATCGGAGTTCCTACCTCTCCGTGCGGCTCTTTTGCTTTGGTCGTGTTGATTATCAGCGGCTTTCAGTCTTGCGTAGGTAGAAAAATCGGTGCAATTTTATGCTCATCCTATTCACTTTGCCATTTGGTTTCCTCAATGAGCTAATCTGTCTACGTGCTTGGGAGAACATCAGAACACATGATTGGAACGACCTTGTTGAACCAATAACTACCTATCATCCGTGCGAACCCCTCACAAATTCGGCCGTTCCCACCCCATCAACAGCCCGCCGTTTTTATGTCCTTAGACACTCCACTGTTGGTCCGTGGCGACAGGTGGCTCCTGACATCTCCATTACCCTCACACCGTCATCAGTCGGTGCTGTCCCACCGATCGATATACGCCCGGACGCTAATGATGGGTCTGCGCCGCGGGTGACCTCGACTGGGCGGCGGCGGAGAGACTCAGAGGTCGGCGGAGAGACTCTGAGGTCGGCGGCGACCCAGAGGTCGGCGGCGCGACCTTCCGAGGACGCCGTGCGGTGCCGGTGGCCGACCGCATGGCAGACTGAACGCCGATAACGGTGACTTAGAAAGGGGAGGGGAGGAGGCAGGGTGATGACAGTCGTCGGTCTCAGTATCTTGCCGGACCGTTCACGGTATGGTATTATTGATCAGCTCAGGGCGTGTGCCACAGTTGTTTAACATGAATACGGCTGCCTGAAGCACATCGTCACCGTTTCATGGCATCGGAGATTAACACTGCTATCAGGGCCTTCCTACGTTTTTTTTTTTCAAACACATCATTCGATTTCTGTCGGAAGAGGCAACTTCTGACCCTCAGCACGCATTTATCAATTCTGCCCTTCGTGTTTGTCTTGCGTGTAGACAGGCACTAGGCAGTACGCAGCAGATAGTCCTTGACCCAGAGACTGGCGTCGGTCCTGATTCTCGAAACTATATCGCGCTCAACTCCCTGATATCGGTACCTCTGCGCATCGGCCGCTCCGCAGGTGCAGCTCCGTTTCGTGTCCGTCGCCTCAAATACACGTGTATTACACGTGTGAGAGGACCGTCGTCACCGCACCTGGCTGCAGTCACGTGATCGGCGTCCACACTCCCGGTCAGGGTCACATGACTGTCGTGCGGTGAAGTTGACGCGCAGTGTTTTCAGTTCAGTCCGATTTCGTGACCGGCAGATAAAAATATGTTACATCGGAAGCAGCTGTTGGTGGTAGATTTTTGAGTCGCTAATCCCCTGGCAGTTTTAGCGATAGGATGAATAATGTGATGTCCCTGGAAATTGGTTCACCAACGTTATGCTTTGGTAGACTCTAGCATTATTTTTCACGCTTACTCGTTTTAGTTTGTATGTAGTAGAAATTGTATGCTTAATAGTGTTACGAGATCCATCTGTCCGTTTCTTTTTTTAATCGGATATCCAACAGAAAGTAACCATTAGCGCTATCATATCACGCCAATTATTCTCATCCATAAAAGGATGGCACTCAACCCGTTCGCAGACATAGATACGTTTACTGCTCTCCAATTTTGCTTTTTAACCCATTCGGTATCGAAAGTCGAAGAGGCGTTTGATGTCGCGCCATTATTGGAACGGAACACGCTGGTCTGATATGGCGCCTTCCGCCCACCATCTGTCCGAACACGGATCTGCGCTCCTCTCTCTCTCTCTCTCTCTCTCTCTCTCTCTCTCTCTCTCTCTCTCTCTCTCTCTCTCTCTCTCTCTCTCTCTCTCTCTCTCTCTCTCTCTCTCTCTCTCTCTCTCTCTCTCTCTCTCTCTCTCTCTCTCTCTCTCTCTCTCTCCGTCTCTCCTTCCCCCTCCCAGTCCCTGACCTCCCAGCCGGAGACCGGCCGTCTGTCTGTCTGTCTGTCTGTCTGTCTGTCTGTCGGCCTGTTGATGCAGCTGACGACTCCAGCTCCGACCTCGAATCGGCGGCCCCGTTTTGGTTTGATATCCCGTGACGGTCAAATCGAACACGCCTCGTTATTTGCCGGTGTACGGTCGTGTCAGCTTCAACGCTTCTGAGAGACTCAACAGGCGTTGTCATCCGAGCACCTTCCTATATGGAACGAAGTCATCGCTACTCTCCATGGAGTTAACCGAAGTGAAGACAACATTGGTGGCTTAGCCATGCATCACAGTGTTGTCAATCGGATGCCCATTATGCAACGATAAACGCAACGCAACGGCGTAATTATCAACAAAGCGCTTCCATTCAGCAGTTAGTGACCCTTATCTACCTTTTGTGTTCCCCCTCTCGTGCCACTCAGCCTCATGACACGTGACCCTTCTCCCATCTCTCCGTCATCTGGCAGGCGCCGCGCCGCCGTTTCTGCCCGCTCCGCGCCGGTTCTGTCGACACCCTGACTGCACCTCTCTTACCATCGTCTCTATTATCTATCTCTGTCTCTGTCGCACGTCTGTCTCTGACGCCGTCCTCGTAATTCACCGCTGAACACAACCGCAGCCTTGACCAGCGCGCGACACGCGCCATTGCGAAAAGCGGACCTCGGAGGGGGACGGACGATGTATGGACGACCAGCGCTCGGTCGTGACCAGTGCACAATGCTGGTGTGATATTTGGCAGCGCAGTCGTGCGTGGTGGACAGTGCAGACGCGTGTCGTGCGGACGGCATCATCGTTAGGGAGACTGAGGTAGCCTTCGCCGCAGCTGGCGGCCCATCTCGGCGCGGATTGAGGCCGGCTGATAAACCGAAACGTGACGCATTAACTGTGCCCGACTTCATCCACTGATCGGTCGTCTGTGGGGTTTGAGGTGTGCTGCTTCTCTAAGTGCATCTGTCGTACTTATGCACTAGCAGGAGCCAGTGCATCTGAAATTAAGTTTTATCTTCTGTAAGAAAGTATTAATTAGATGGTAACACCCCACAAAAAAGGTTGCTATATGCGTCGCGATTTACCTCTGCATTCTGCAACTGAATATTGATATTTTAGCTTTTGTTTCATCAGGGCGCCGTACCCAAACAATTCCTCTCCTGCCCCGATTTGTTACAACCGGACCACCTTCTCGGCACGAATCAGTTCTAAATAAATGATGGTGTTGCAAACTCCTTCCTTTTTTCATCCGATCATACCTAATTACAACGATCGCACCGCGCATGGCTTCTTTGCTCCCCGTGGGCCCGTTCCCAGGTAAGTACTGGCCCAAGGGCCGACCGGAGCTGGTGTTAGCGGCCAGCCGGCGCTGCAGTCTCCGCCGCTGCCCGCGCCGCCCGCCGTCCGCCGGCCTGCGCTCAGTCGTCGCTAGGACGTCGCGCGGCGCGTGCGTATCCCCGACCGGCGCGTGCGATGGTGGCGAGTGTGGTACGGCAGTGATCCTGAGGCCAGAGTGAGTGTGTGTCTCAGAGAGGCGCAGAGAGAGAACCATGTGGGACCGGCGGAGCGGCAGCATCACTCGCGTGGCCGACACGCTGGTGATCAGTGTGAGCCAGCCGACCGAGGCGGCGCTCTGGGGTGACGGGCCGCCGTCGGGGGACTGTGCGGAGGGCGCAGAGCTCAGGACAGGCAACTGCTCGTCACCGGCGAACGGTGAATCTCCGCCCGGCAGCGGCACATGGCTGGGCAGTGACAGTGACTGTGCGACGAGTCTGGGGTCGGAGGACACCCCGTCCACCCCCGCCCCCGCCCCGGCAGCCAGTGGGGACGGTATACAGATCATCTGTCGGTTCGACTCGCCCCCGCCGCGGCCGTCGCCGCCCTCCTCCCCTCCCCCGTACCCTCCACCACCTCCTCCGGTCGAGTCGTCACCGACGCTGGCCGCGCTCAGCCACGACGTCAGCGAGTTCAGCAGCATCATCGAGATCGACGGTGACAGTTTCTGCATCCGTTCCCGGCTGGCGGGTCAGGAGGAGCCGGAAACGGAGCCTGAACCCTCTTCCTCTACCGCTGGTGACTCCGAGCTCCGCGGTGACCACTCCGACTCCGACTCAGACTCTGACTCTGATGACGAGACTGCAGTGCTGGTGGCACAGTGTCGCCGGTTCTACGAGTCCCGTCTGGTGTCACGGTGGCCTGCTCTGATACCGGAGGAGTCGGACGAACCTGCCGCGGTCCGAGGAGAGACACTGATGGAGGAGGAGGAGGAGCGGCCGACCAGTGTGGACAGTGGACGGGAGAGCGGCACAGACAGCCGCACGGCTGATCAGGAGGAGGGCGCGCCGCGGCCCGAGCTGACGGAGACGCAGACGGAGGCACAGACGGAGACACAGACGGAGACACGGAGACAGGAGCAGACGCAGACTCCGCTGGAGGCCAAAATGGCACTGCTGCGGCGAGAAGTGGTGAGTAATCATCTGTTCAGACTGAAAGAGCTGTGAATATGAAACAGCCATGAATGTGAATTGTGAAGCGAGTTGTACACAACGTGTTAGAAGTTTTACTCACAAATCATCGCATTCACCCATCCGTCCTCACGTTACGCAAGACGGAGCGTCTACCGGGTTAGTTCCGCCCCATAGACGCC